GCCGGGAGAGGGGAGCAACTGTCTCATGAGGAGTGGTTGAAGGATTAGACTGCACAAGGTTCAAGACAGAGGTGTAAGAATAACCACTGGGAGGCATTTTCCTCTGTGACAGACATCTCTCCTAAGGGAAGGCCGGGGAATCCAGGCTCATTTTGCTCAGTGCAGGTGGCCGGTCTCCTAACCAAGGCAGGCGTGGCATCGCGTGTTTGTTTCTTGAACATCTCCAGGTTATAGACATGCCAGAACACAACCCTGGCCAGATGGGCGGAACCATGAGGCTGGGCAAGAGGAGGACCCTGTTCCAGACCAAGAACTCTGTCATGAGTAAGGGCGGCCTCCCGCAGGCCCAGCCTCACCCGGCACGTCCAGGATGCCCGTCTTGGGGTGCTGCGGCCCGGCTGGCATTTTGGTTTCGTTCTTGCTTTTGAAGCTCTTTTTCCCCTCCCAGTCACACTCTAGGATGCACTACAATGGCCAAAGAAAGCACTGTGGCTCTTAGAAAGGCCAGAGGCAATGCAGCTAGGGACCTGGGGAGCTTTGGGTGTGGACGAACCAGAATGAGGCAGTTAGGTGAAAGCCACTGTCAAACCGGGTGAAACTGCCAGTGTTGGCGAGTTTTGTCCCATAAACATGGTAGTTTCATCCAGTTCAAACTAAATAGATATTACTCTAGAAGTACTAAGATGTGCTGAAGATTTAGAGGAGATTTGGGGAGGAAGATATTTAGGAACTGCTCGACTTGATTTTCTTTCCTTGTCCACTGGGAAGGCTCTGTCCTTGTTGGCAGGGCACCCGGGTGTCCGGGGTTCGCAGGAGGCAATAGGTTGAGTTACTCGGGGAGGGAGTCGTCCAGCCCTCGGGTTCTAGCGTCCTGTGGCTGCGGGGAGGCGGGGCCCTCCTGCTGGGGGAAGCTGCCTGTCGGCAGATGCCACACGAGTTCCCGGGCCCGGAGGTGCGGGGCAGCTTTGGTGGCTGTGACTTAGCCTTGGTGCCAGCAGGGTGCTGTGCGCCTCTGTCACCGTGTGTCAGGGGTGGTGGTAAAAGTCTGTTTCTGTTAGTTTTTCTTGGTCTCAAAGACTCAAAGCCCAAGAACTCGTCTGAACTGTGCTGCCAGCACAGCGGGCTGGGGTCGGCAGAGAATCGTAGGAATACCCTCCCGCGGGCCTGGCGGTGGGGGTGCTAGGAAGCAGCCCGGTGAAGGGAGCGGGGTGTGGTTGTGAGACGGGCCCGGGGTGGGACCAGCAGCCTTTGCCGCAGCATGCTTCTTTTGCCAGGGAAACTCTACGGAGACCCAGATTATTTGGAAGAGAGGCACCGCCATAGATTTGAGGTGAGGACTTGAGCTCAGTGACCTTTACCATTTTCTCCTTTCTGTTGCTCCGAGAGCCCAGCCAGATTGTTCCTCATACTTCAACAGGTGAATCCAGTCTTGAAAAAGTGTTTGGAAGAGCAAGGCTTGAAGTTTGTTGGCCAGGATGTTGGAGGAGAGAGAATGGAAATTGTGGAGCTGGAAGGTGATTGTTTGGGCGGTTGTGCTTAGTGGGAAACTTCGGTTTTCTTGGCATGTGGGTGGGGAAAAGACAAAAATAGTAGACCTTGCCCTGACTGAATCAGGCAGCAGCTCTGTCTTGGGGGAAGGTTCCCGGGGAATAAGGTTCTGGAGCCCCGGGGGGCTTATCCTCGAGCTGAGGCCGGCCTCAGACAGCTGTCTCACCTCTGCCCGCAGGTCCTTGTTCTCCAGAGAGAGAGCTTGGACTTGGTATTGAAGTCTGATCTCCTGGGACCCGCAGGACTCAATCCCATGCAAGTCAGTGGAGCGGGGGGACTGGAGGCAGAAACCTGGAGAGGAGGCACCTTCTGCCCGAGAGTGACAGCATGCAGGGTGGGGGGCCTTGGCCCTCCCGTGCTTTGTAGTCACCTTTACCCAGACTCTAATAAAGAAGCCATTTTCAAATAATTTTAGGGTCCATGGGAAATGTGGAGCATTTAGCAAGATTTTTGTCTCATCTTTCACATGTAATGCAGACACACAGTGAAGCTGGTTCTTTTGCATTTCTGTTTCAGATCATCCCTTTTTTGTTGGAGTTCAGTACCACCCTGAGTTCCTGTCCAGACCTATCAAGCCTTCTCCACCATACTTTGGCCTCCTCCTGGCCTCCGTGGGGAGGCTCCCGCATTACCTTCAGAAAGGCTGCAGGCTCTCGCCCAGGTGGGATCACACTCCCCTGGTCCCTCAGGTGGTCTCCATTTCCTTATAGTGAGCCGTCTTCGCACTGTCAGTGATGAGCAGAGCCCAGGAACAGGGAGCCTCACTAATGTCCTTTCCTCCCCAGGGTTTTCTTAGGCTGCTCTGTGCCACTCCTGGCCTTCCCCCCAGCATGGTGGCCAGGTCCCCTCTCTGCAGCATCTGGGCTCCAGGGTCACATTGTGGTCCATGGGGAACTGCAATTTTTCACGGGTGTCAGCCACAGCCCAGTGGATTTCATGCCCCACCGCTGCCTTTATCTGGAAGCAGTCAGTTACCCTGGCTTGGTGGTTAGGACAGCATGAGCGAAGTATAAAGCAAACATGTATCTTTTGTAACTGGAAGACTCCCTCTGTAGCTTTATGCTGACTCTGTAATATAGTAGAGTCTGATTTCTGTTGCGTGCAAACATCCCTGTGGTAGTGGTGGCTACAAAATCAGGGGAGTAAAGCGAGTGTTTGGTGAGAGCTGACAAATAAACCATCTGAATTCTGCAGGGACACCTACAGTGACAGGAGCGGAAGCAGCTCCCCTGATTCTGAAATCACTGAACTGAAGTTTCCATCAATAAATCATGACTGATGGTAATGTAAGTGATATTTTTAAGCTTTGGTTTTATTTTGAATGGTGATAATACTAGAGTTATAAGAATACCGTAAAAGTTTAGTGTTGAAGAATTGTGTCTGCTAGAGAATGAAAGTGATCAGGTCAGTGTGGGCATCCAATGGGTGAGGAACTGCGCCCCCTCCCCACCCCAGATACAGTGTGCCTTCCCACCCTGCTCTGGGGACTCCAGTTGGGGGCCACCAGGCACTCGGCACTTGTCTCCTTACTGATTGCTGCATTCAGGTGCCAGTCTGACCAAGTCCAGGGGAACTGGACTCTTAGAGCCTTGTTATTTCATGTAGCCATAAACTTGGAGATCTTGGAGGAGGTGACAGGTGTGATGGTGTGGTGTTATTTCTGCAGACCCTCAAGCTTTCATCAGAAAGTGCTTTAAAACCAATGCACACAGCACTTGTATGTTGATTGCTGCTTACTCTTGAAATCCATTAAAATCGGAACAATTATTGAACAAATGGCAAAAGTAGGAGGGGCCCAGGGGTGTCAGCCTGGAATATGTGGGGTCTGAAAGGAGAACCAGGGAAGTGTGAGGAGGGGGGGTCCCACCGCTAGTTAAGACATGCACCTGCCCTTGAGGCACAAGCAGGCGGCCTCCCGGCATCCTGCACGCCTCACATCCACCACCAGGGGGCCTCATTGCTCACAGGTCTGGTCTCCTGGGCTCAGGGCTGTGCTCCCCCCAACCGACCCTGGTTGATTAGCCACCTGGCCTGTGGTAACCTTAGCTAGGTGGGCGGGCAGGAGAAGTAGGTCCGAATCAGGATGAGGGCGTTGGGAGCTTTCTCTGCCAGGTAAGCATTTAGCACAGATGGACTCATTAATCTCCACCAGGTAGTTTGCTGTAGCTCTCTGGTAGTCTTAGTAACTGCTGTAGAGAGAAAGGAGACTTTTTTAATAGTAAAGTGGTAGCTATCTTGTCACTTACACGGAATTCCCAGCTGCCTCTCTCAGTAGAGAATTCCCCGTCAGTGGCCTCGTTAAGAGGCTGGGGCTATGGGGAAAAAAATGCTTGTTTTGGGGCAGAGAGAGAGTCCATATAAAATGCTGAAAATGTACTACCCCCTGCCAAAATAAAATAATTAAGTAATATAAAAATAAAAAAGATCTTGAAAATGTAGGATTCTTTAGGAATCAGAAATTTAGCTTCTCATTATTCATATTAGGCTCCTACCCCTGGTCCTTGATGAAAACCAGGCCTAGTTTACCACAGCAACGGGCTGTACAGCCTAACTTTTCCACTTCAACATACATCATATAACTGTTACGAATTTTTTTAAACAGGGATGATTCTTGAAGAGAGCCTTTGGACTTCAGGAGTTTACAGCTTTGATTTTACACTCAGCTTTCAACACTTCCTTTAAATTATGTTTTTATTAAGGTATTTTATTATGAGGGAAGGTATCGGGAAGACTTTGTGGATTGCATGTCCCACCCACTCCGTGTACCGGCTCGTGCACAGCGTGCTGCCCACTGCTCCACGCTCTCCCTTGCGGTCCTCCAGCCTCCGACAAGACGTAGGACGTGCGGGCGGAGCCAGATGGTCACCACACTTCTCCCGCCGCCTCACATCCCCGTGGATTCGAGCGTGTCACTGTTCCTTTCTCTGATGCCAGGACCATCCTAAAATGTGTGCCGTGCATGCAGCTGAGTGGGCCCGGAGGGGTGAGTCCATCTAGTGCTGACCACCCCCAGGGCAGGAGCAGCGAAACCAGAACTAAAGTGTCAGCTCTGCCCCATCCAGGGGACCCTCTGCGCCAACTGTGGCTGGGACTTGTTGTCCAAAGGGACGGTCAGTTTGGCGTCACATGAAACGGCAAGCAGTCTGTCTGGAGTCTGAGTTAAGAGTCCCCATCCTCTGGCTGCGCTTCTCTTCCCGGGGCTAAGAGACGCTCCTTGCATCAAGGGGTCGCTTAAAAAAGAACAGAATCTTTTGGGGAAACTGCCTCTCAATCCCTCTCATATATAGACAGCTTTGCCCAAGGGGACTCTTTCCTTCCAGAACGGTGTTACTGCGGTTGAAATGCAACATGAAAAGCTATTTTCTTAACGTGCTGTAATGACAGGCCAAGCTGCGTGCCCGTTGTGTCCTGGCTGGACGTGGTGTACACCCTAACTTAAGAAATAAATAACGCAGAACGAGAGACGCACTTTGTATTGTCCTTCATGTCGTGCCGGGTGGGAACTGTCTGAGCCCGGTGCCAGGCGTGCCCCTGTGCGGTCCGCGGAGCTGTCAGTGCCAGGCCCTCCTCCAGGGGAGCAGCCTGAAGTGAGGGGGTCTTGTAGTTTGTTTAAAAACTAAGAAAGGAGACTTTCTTTTTTAACAGGAACCAGAATTTCCCCACAAGGCTTCAAATTTAGGTTCTCAGCATATGGAGATTCAAAGCAGCATGGGTGCAAGTGGGCTGCGGCTCGACTTGAAGAAAGTGGGGACAGACGTGATGTTTACAAAGGACGTGCCCCCACCCGGCCAGGCATGGCCCAGGGAGTGGCCAGCAGGACTGCCCTGTTGCCCAGGCCTCCTGCTCCCCCAAGTGCAGGCCCTCGTCCTCAGTGGTTTTTCCTCCAAAGCGAAATTCGTGACATGGAATCCGTGCTCTTTGTGTCACACTGGTGACGGGGGCGCCCACCTGGTGACAAGGGGGCCGACCTGCACCCTGGCTGCCAAGAACCCCTGCCTGTGAGCCGGCTCCTCCACAAAGTGTGTCTGAGGCCAGGGCTCGGGACTCAGGCCGGACTGCTTGTCAGGGGTCAGCAGCCTTTGTTGATGTTTAAGAAAGGGGGGCTTGGGAGAAAGGGGATTCTCACCACTTGGCCCAGCTCCTCCATCAGACACCCAGAAAGGAGACCCTCTGCTCACTAGGCCACGGCCGCCATTACCGCTGAGGCCCAGAGGCCCATACAGGGACACCACCACCCGACTGAGGGCAACCTGGCTGCTGCCTCCTGTCGGCACTTCTCATGGGCTGAGCTGAGATGTTTTCATTCACAGAGGCCTTGGTACTTTGAATGTTGCCAAATGGGTGAATCCTAACCCCATCTCCCATCTGGTGGTTCCATCAGATTTCAGTCATTTTTGTAAAAGTCAGCAGCTGCTCCCGTCTGACTTCCTGAGCTGCACCTCCTCTGTCTGCAGTTCTTAAGTGGCCTCTGAAAAGCTGGCTCAGGCCCTGTGATTGGGTGACCCCAGGGAGCTCAGTGGGTTGGTAACTGGTCAGGAGGTGGGCATCCATGATCACACTTGGTCCCTATAACTGGTGTGTGTTTGGTAAGTGTGAAAAGCAAGTCTCAGAGTAGCTGTGACTGGCCAAGGGGGCTTCTCTGTGTCCACTCTGCGGATGTGGCCAAGGACCTCTAGGCTGGGGGACCGAAGGGGATCACTGAAGTGTGTTCCGTGGACCCCTAGTCCTGTGAAATGCCCTGTTTGACAAGTTTCCATGATTTTTAGTAGCTCAGACTGCAAATTTAGGGGTGTCCTTGTTTCATCAGCAAATATTTACTGGGCATCTACCCCATGCCAGCTATGTTTCAGGTTCCGTACCTAAAACACTGAACAAAACAGACCAAAATCTCCATCCCCTAGAGCATGTGTGACTGACAACTGCACCAGAGAAAAAAGCTGGAAGCAGGAGAGGGGAACTGAAGTGCTGGGAGGGGGTGTGTTTACAGTAGGGAGGGTACGAAAATTGCTTTCCACTCCACTTGAGGGTAGAGTCATGCAGCTCTCTTAGGGAGGAGCATTCCAGAACGGGAAGCAGCCCATGCAAAGGCCCTGAGGCAAGTGTGCTCATGAAACAAGTTGGTCAGTGTAGCTGGAATGCAGGAGCCAGGGGCAGGGCTTGTTGAGGCAGATGGGCCAGGTCGCAGGGGACTGTGCAGACCACTGTTTCAGCTTTGCTCTGGATGAGATGGGGAGCTCTTGGAGGGCTTTGAGCCCAGGTGTGGCATGATCAGACGATGGCTTAATTGAGTCTCAGTCTGCTGGTGGAGATGGCCGGGGAAGTAGCTAGTGCAGGAATCCTTTCCAGTGGCTGGAGGTTGCTTGGAATAGAAGTCAGACACTTCCTGTGCAGGTGCTGGTATGTGCTGGAGAGAATCAGGGCACCAGCTGGCCCCACCTATTGTCACTATCCTATAGATGAAGAAACTGCTTGAGGTGTAGCAATTTGCCCTAAGGTACCTGGTATTCAAGGCAGAGATGCACTGGAACCCAAGCATCCGAGGGTCCTTTCCCCATAGCTCTGTGGGGGGAGGAGCCCAGGGCTGGCTCGGCCTCCTGGACAGATGTGGACTCATGACCCAGCTGCATCCAACCAGCCAAGCGTTCCAGAAAGAAGCATTCTTGCTCTGGGTGCATGTCATTTATTAAAGAGCTTTGAGACAGTCACACATGCCAGCAAGCCAGGGTGGGGGTGCAGGGTGGCCTGTTTGCTCTATAACTTCAGTTACTGAATGTGCCTTGCCATCTGAGGAGGGGCAGATGACAAGTCCCATTTTGGCCCTGTGTAGCCAATGTGAGTCAGAGACCCCAGCTGGGCCAAATGAGCATTTCAGGGAGAGGGACAGTCCCTTACCGTTCAGCCCATGGATAAAGAGCTCTGGCGAAGTTTTTATAAGTTCTTTCTGAAAGTAAGGCCCCTTGGGGATTGTGCTAAGAGCAATTTCTTAGCTACAGACACTGGGGCTCAGGACTGAAACTGCGTGGGGACCAGCCTGTGGGTGCACACTGTTGTTGAAGGAACCAGGAAGTGCAGTGCTCCCATCCACCTCTGAGCAGCCCAGACTGGTTTTATTGGGAGGACCAGGGCTCAAATAAGAAGTCCCTGCATCTTCCAGGCAGAGCGCTGGGGCCCTCACAGGACGCAGCAGGTGCAGGAGATGGACCTGCGCTGCTGCAGCTGCAGCTGCTGCTGGAGCTGCTCCTTCTCCGCTGTCATCACCTTCAGCCTCTCCTCCAACTTGCTCAGCTCAGCCATCCACTTCTGCGGGAAGATGGGAGAAGCTGTGTCTAAGTTGATACCATCTCAGGTCTGCGCGCCCTCCACTTGGGGTTGAACTGATGGAGGAAGGCAAGGCCAGAGAGCCCGGGGGTTCTGCTCAGGGCCACTGGGCACCATGCTGGCCCGGTAGGTGGGGGAGCCAGGCCCCTGACCAGTCATCTCTGGGGTCTTAGGGGAAACTCTCCTGACCTGAGGGTCCTGCCAGCATCCTAGGCACTGGGGTGACCCATCCTTCCCTCTCTCTGTCAGCCCCTTGGTCTCCTCTGCTTTTCTGCCACCTGATGTTTCCTTCTTGAAAAGACTTTTCCTTGGCACTGTGTCCAGCACTCAGTCCTTGAGTTTGTCGTAAAACTTCAACATTCCACCCTCCCAGCTCCCCCAGCTCCACTGCAGTGGAATACGGGAGGTAGTGGGCTTGTTTCCACCCAGTCCCTCCGGTGTGCTCACAGGGCAACAGAGGACCAGGGGACCCGGCGGCCCGCCCAGGACTGCTCAGTGGCCTAGGGGCCCAGAGCCGGCTTGGCCCCCACCCCGCCTGCTGCGGCCTTGGCCACTTACCTGCCTGCACCACTCCTGGATGGCGCCGATGGACAGCGGGCCCTGGATGCTCCCGTCTCGCCGCAGAAACACCTCCCCCTGGTCGGTCTCGTGGAGCTGCGGCTCGGCCTGGGCCTTGGGGGCGTGCACACTCAGGCGGATCACCTTGGTAAGGGCAAGGATAGCTCTGCTGGCGCTGCACTGGACAGTTTGCAGCCCTAATCCCGCCTCACTGGCGCCTGGGGCAGCCTGGGGGTGCTGAGGCCAGGGCCGTTTCCAGGCTGTTCTCTAGTCTGTCTTTTCCGAACTCCTCCCGGCTCCCAGTGGCCCCAGCTCACCTTGAGAGGGGTGCTGGTGGCAGCGGTGCTGACCACGGGGATGAAGGTGAGCCTGTAGGCTTCGGGGAAGACCTGGGGCTTGAAGCCCTGCAGGATGGAGTCCACTAGCAGGCGCACGCGGTCCTCATCGCGGTGGCTGCAGCGGATGCCCTGCACCAGGCCGCTGTCCTCCACGCCCACCAGCAGGCTGCCGCCCTCGCTGTTGAGGAAGGCGCACACATAGCGCCGCAGGTGGTGCTTGAAGGCCTGGTTCAGGTACTCGCCGCCGCCCCGCTTGAACTCCACATTGCGTGTCTCGCTGCCCAGAAAGGCGCCCTGGAAGAGGCGCTCCTGGCCCAGGATCTCTTGGTGCACGATGGCACTGTCTGAGCGTGTGCCGCTGGGCCAGCCCTGGGGGCTCCGCTGCCACGGGGCCAGGGCCCAAGTAGGAGGGTGGGCAAGCATGGTCGGTGGGAGACTGGAGCCCGGGATGGGACCAGGGCTAGGGCCAGGGCTCGGGCCACTGTCCTCCTCCTGCTGAGGTGAGTGGTGAGAGCAGAGTGTATGGGCCAAGGCAAGAGCCAGGAGGCCCAATCTTGGTGGCGACAGGGACAGGCGCCTCCAACAGCCCCCATCCTCCCACCTCCCACCCCTGCCAGGGCCCAGCCCACATGTGCATCCTGATACCCGCCTAGGCAGAGGGATCTAATTCTGCCCACCATCCTGAGGCCATTGTGGGAAACCCCACTGGGTCAGGGGTTCAAACCATCCAGTGCTCCTTAGGCCCTGAGGGCTGCCCTCTTCCCAGGTGGACTGAGGGATGCATGTGGGTAAGAGCTGTTCTCCTTCTGGGTGGGAGCTGGGACACCTGAGGCCACTCTCTTCCCACTTGGGTTGTGGGTAGGCCTCTGAGGCCCAGGGCTGGATCATCCCAGGAGATACCTCAGCGCCCTGAGGTCCCCTGTGACGGAGCTGCATGTCTCTGAATTGAGAGGGGCTCTCAGAGATCCTACCCACTTCCTGATCTCCCTTAAATACTCACTGATCACTTTCTGGACAACTGACTAGTTCTCCTGAATCTCAACTTTCCTCCAGCCCTCCCGAGTCCCCTTCTGTGGTTTCTGCTCTGTTCTCGGGCTCTGGCCATGAGCCTGCTTCCCTAGTCTGGGCCTCACCACTGGACTCCCTGCCTCCAGGTTCTCCCCGTCCTCTTCACTAACCCTAGATGCAAGTTATACTATCACTTAAACCCTTCCCTGGCTCCCTGCTGCCTTCCAGCCTCCAGAAGGGTGTCTAGTTTTGGGAGCTCAGTGCTGGCTGGGCCACGGTGATGAGAAGCACACCACCACTAGCCCCGCAACTCCCAGAGAAGACAATTTCGCAGAGATGCGAGAAAACTGTCAACCATTATAAAAACATGCCATCGGGCCACAGAGCTTTAAATGTATGCCCCGGGGCTGCTGAGCTCTCTGACAGTTTAAACCCCATGGAGTCCTCACTTCCCCCGAGAAAAGACAAACCAAGATCGCCCTTCCCACAGAGTGATCTACCACCACCTCAGCGAGTTGACTGCTCCGTTAGATGCCCACAAAAGCCAAACTTTCTCCTGCTCTGTCTGGGTCTCACAGCCCTTGGTGGCCTAGCCCCTACCCTCTGGCCTGGCTTTCTTCCTCAGTCCCCCTGGCAGCCTCTGGCCTAAGTTCCAGGGACAGCAAATGACCTGCCTCCCTGCAAATGCAACCCCCCCCACCATGTCCTCTTGTATGTGCCATGTCCCTCTGCCTGGTATGTCCTTCCCTGAGTGCCTGTCCCATCCCCTAAGTCCCAGCCTGGATCTCACTCCCCTGCAAATTTGTCCCTGGAGAGCAGGGAGGACCCTTCTGGGTTCTCCTCCTGCTCCAGGCCACCCCCTCCGGTCGTCTGGCTCTGTTCACAGATGCAGGGCTCCCTGAGGGCAAGGCCGAGGCTTTGCTCTCTGCTTTACTCTCTGCTTTACTGCCCAACACAGAGGCGGCACTGGTGTTGTCAACTGAGCGGGTGAGGTCAGCCAAGGAGAAGGCCGGGACCCTGCAAATCCCAGAACCTGGGTGGCCTGGCCCAGAGGCAGAGAATGTGGGAGGGCCCCAGGAGGGTCTGATACTCGCATCTTCCTTCGTGTGCTCCCAGGCTGGAGGCAAACTTTAAGGGTCAGTATCCTTCTGGGATCATGGTCACTTGAGTAGCAACACCTGAGTTTGCAGACTCGTCCCCAGTTCCTCAAAGACACCCCTCCAGCCCCACCCAGCACAGGCCATCCATCCCCAGGCCTCTCCCAGGGCTTGAGGGCCGCCTGGCTTGGGGATAGCCCCACTGACCTCTCTGCAGGTTGAGTGATCCCGGCCCTCACCCAACACCAGCTCCTTCCCGCGGGCCACCAGCTCCTTGATGATCTGGTGCTCCTCCAAGGCTGTGTGAAGGCGCCAGGGCAGGGAGGCCAGGGTGTCCTTGTGGGTGGCCACCTGCACCAGCGCGTAGGCCTTGTGTGGCCGCCGCACCACCTCAATGTGCTCCCGCTCCACCGGCAGCCCGAGCCGCTCCAGGGTGTCTCGCAGCAGGCAGGTGAGCACAGGCACCGAGAATTGAGGGTTCAGGTGGCCCACATAGAGAACATGCCTGCTGGGAGCCGCCTGGATGCTTGAGTCCTCAGGTGGGGCCTGTTTCATGGAGAGCTCCTGCAGAGGCTGCCGGCCTGGGGGCTCCATGAGGGGCTCCTGCACCTGTGGTTTGGTGCTCTCTTCCTGGGGGGGGGTCTCTGGAGGGGTCTCCCTTGGAAGAGATTCTGGAATTCCTCACTGCTGGTTGCTCCTCTCAGGGCCCTGGGCTCTCGGCTCGGCCCAGGGCCTCCCAGCGGACTTGGAGAGGGCCAAGGCTCCTGGGAGTTTCACAGATTGGCAGGGGCTGCGTAGGGCCAGAGAGAGAGGGTGGGCAGAGGGCCAGCAGGAAGGGGCCTGCCACCCACCCAAGGCCTAGGACAGGAAAGAGGAGAGTGAGACAGGCCTGAGCCAGACAACAGAGCATGTGGGCCTGTCCCTCCATCCCACAGGAGGGAAGGGAAGACCGAGGGAACATGCTTGAATTGGGGCAGAAGGGACGAGAACTCAGGTCCCTGAGGGCCTCCCAAATCCCTTCATTGTCCCCAGAAGTCCTGTCCTCCCTCACCAGGCCACAGGCTGGCCTCCTAGTTCCCCTCAGGGTTTCCTGCCCACCAGAGTTCACTGCTGCCCCCAGGCACCAGAGAAACCTTCTCAAGGGACCTTTGAAGAAGCTTTCACCCAGGGCTCTAAGGATTGCCTGTGTCCCCTCTGCTGCTTCTCCTTGCCAAGTCTGAACCTGCTGTGAGCCCAACTGAGGCTCTGAAGCAGTCAGGCTGGGTCAGAGGGTTTTAGAGCTGAGGTTCTTATGCTTTGGGCGCACTGATGAAAGCTATGGCCCCTCCCAGAGCAACGGCCTTCACATACATACATATAATTTGAGGAGGCTCGTCTAGACCAAATCCTCTGGTTTGGGTCCCAAGAGCAGAAGTGAGGAGGGGCAGAGCGAGGGGCAGAGCTGGGGCCCCTGTGTACCTCCCTGGCCACCTCCCGCTAGGCCAGGGCCGTCACTCCTGAGCTGTGCACATATGTACACACACCAGCCAGTCCACTCACCCCCACACACCCCGCCTCTGGTCCGCGTGGCAGGTACGGCCAGCCTGCATCTTTTCAGATTGGATCCTTGAGGCAGTTAGGGCCTGGGGCCCACCACTGTTGGGGTGGAGGCATTCAGGGCAAATGGAAACAGGAAGAAAAGGGAGGCCTATGACCTTCATGTCCTAATGGTTCCTGGGGGAGCATGGGAGGTGCCACCCCTCAGCTCCCACAGACCCCTGAGTCCTGGCCAGCAGCTTCCAAGGGCGCTTGGGGGCTTGGCACCGGACAGGGGAACCAGGGCTGGAGGGAGTGGGTGGGGCCTGTGCAGCCACCTCTGTGATCTCAGGAGAATCAACAATGGCTCTGTGCCAGCCTCAAGCAGGCAGGGCTGGGAAGTGAATCAGGAAAACTTCTCCCTGACTCCTCACCCCACTGTAAACAGATGTCCCACACATCTTGGTGGGGGGCTCCTTCTGTGAAGCTCCCAGAATCCAGGGACTGAAGACATACTTCCCCCCTCTGTAACGTCCTTCCAGGCCCTAGTGCCCACACAGGTCCCCCGGAGCCCCAGGTCTCCACCTCCTGCTTCAGTCACTAACGCCAGGCTCCACTGGGCACGGGTGGGCCCGGCTACTCCCAGGATGGATCAGAATGCACATAGTTGGTTCCAAGGCTCCCCTGACACCAGGCCTTTCTCTTTGCCAGAGATGGAGGCTGCTGTCCAGAAGAGCCCCGAAAAATAGGTCAAGCATTGCCATCTCTTTTGAAGGACAGGGTTATCACCTGCTGTTTGACAGGGGCCAAGACTTGAGTGATACGCAGCCTTTATTAATGCAGAAATCTGTTCTTGGGTGGGCAGGGCGTTGACAGTGCTTTCCACTATGCAGCCGCAGGCAGCACTTTCCCACACTGCTTCTGCAAGTCCTGATTTGGGGGAGGGGAGGGTGGCGATCAGACTGGGGAAGCTATTTGACAGCATAGAGAGGAAAGCCTCCTTCTCTGAGTAGCTAATTCTGAAGATGCCAATGAGTTTTGATTCCCTGGGGACTGAGGCAGAGGCTTGGGTAGGGAACCTGAGAAAAGAGACTTCGGTGTGGGGCAAGGAAGAGGCCCCAGGCCCCAAGTGGTGGAGTGTGGGGCTCGGGGGAGGGACCCAGCAGCCAGGTCTGACCCGTCTCTGCAGCCGCAGCGGCTCTCAGCTTTCCACGCTTCCCTTTCTTCTTCTTCAGGCCTTTCTAGACTCTGCCACCATGAGCTGCTCCCACAGCGACTGTACAAGTGGGGCTGTAGCTGTTTTAGACAGTTAAACTCGAGTCCTGTTGAGTGATGCAGAAACAGACAGCTGGCCAGGAGAGGCACGGACAGATGAAACACGTGAACACAACCAGAGAACATAACAAACACGTGACTTCACATACTTCTCTAGAGGCCTTGCTATCAGGCAGCTGTTCGCCATGACATTTTCCAAACCGATTTGAATGCCAAAACTTTCCCCATTCTTCCTGGAAATCTCTTTAAATGACTGTATTACATATTTCCCTGGGCTCTTTTAACAACCTTATGTGAGCCGAACATCAGTTCCAGGGCCAGGGGAGTAAAACTGTCTTTCATTGTAAGCGCTCAATACGTTTACAAGATAATATTTTAAATACTGGAATGCACTGCAGTATAATTGGGTCATTTTATAGCATCTTCGGCTTTCTGGCAGCCACACGTTTAGTGTTGCGGAATAGGCAGCCCCTTTCAGTCCTCTGGATGCCTGTAACCTTAGTGACAACCCCCACTTGGCAATGGAGGAAAAAACTTCTTGAATTTGAAGTTAAGAATGCGAAGTGGGTCCAAAGATGAGGGGTAGAGGGAGGCAGCAGATCCGGGTCTCCTCGTGTTACCTGATGAGTGTCCACTTGGTGGTGCACGCGGCCACGATCATCAGGCGCGGGTGTCTGCGCTAACCGCCCAGGGACCCCAGCCGAGGGGCAGGGACAGGAGAGGGGTGGAGACTAAGCCAGCTGTTACATGGGAGAGGACAGGACGTCAGAAGAGCAAAATCTGGAACTCACAGGGGTCAGAGTGTGGACGCAGCCTTCGCCACGCTGGCCCCATGACACTCCAGCCTCAGTCCTGAGTCCGCTCGTGTGTCTACCAGTTTTGCCTGTTGATTCCCGCCTGGCCCAGCACCCTCCCCCCAGACACCTTGGGCCAAGGGTCTGCACCCTGAGACCTGTCCGCTGCTGGCCCCTGGGAGCATCTGCAGTGGCTCTGGTGTCTCAGGTCGGGCACAAATACACAGTCCTCATGCTTGGCCCGGGGGGATCCAGCTGTGGTGCTTCCCTGGGAAAATGGGGTGACTCGGGGCACTGTGGCAAGGAGGCTGTAAAAAGCTGAGGGTCGACAGAGACAGAGAAGGAGGGAGTGTCCAGTGTCTCTCAGGCAAGGAGGTTTTCCTTGTTTTCAGCTTTGGTTGTAACGAGGGGCAAGTCGCCTCCGGCTCTTCCTGAGTGAGGAGGGGCGGTGGTACCAGCATGAGGGCAGAGACAGGTGTCCCACCAGTGCCACAGCCCAGAGAGGGTCTCAGATTGTTCCATAAAGAGGAGAGCTGTGGACACTCCTGCTCAAGACTAATGACTTGGACCACAGGACACAGCAGAGCCCAGGGCCACGGGCCATGTGGCTGGCAGCAGGGGGGGCTGTGGGTGGGGACGGGGCAGGGGTTCCCAAAGGATTCAGCCTTACGTGGAGCCTGGCCTCCCCTCCCCTCCCCTGCAGTGCCTGGGCCTCTCCTCCCTGCCGTTCCTCAGCACCGGAGTCAGCGGCTCTGTGTCTCGGCGTTGAGGGTGGGCACACAAAGCTGCTGCCGGGAGGCCTCTGTCCTCCAGCCCGGCTTTCCCACATGCCTTCCTGCTTTGTGGGTGGCTGCACTTCTGGGGGTCAAAGGCGAGGCCACTTCAGCTCCTTTGGATGACTCTGGGTCACTACTTAGAAGGCTTGGCTTTGAGGAACAGTTTCAGAAGTTGAGGTTTTGTTTATGTTTTTCTTAAGACATTCAATTCTGCCTACAGCGGTGAGGGCAGTATGAGTGCAAGTACCGTCCCCTCCCCTCCTGCAGAATTTGACTGTTGGTTACCTTTCTAGTTCTGTTCCCTTGGAAACCAGATAAAAATAGAATGTCAACTGTTTCAAGGCAACGGTGATTATGGTAAAAGTGACCCTTAGTTGTAAACTACGTGTTCTAGGGTTCTCCATGTGAACTACACACATCCATTCCCACCGGGCTTCCTCAGTGCAGTGGCTCGGCTGGGCCATGTCCCTCATGGGGACCTGGAAGCTGTGCTTATGGAACCTGGGGATTAGAGCTGGCCTTGGGACACGACGCTTCCAAGCCAAGGGGAACCCCACTTCTCCCTATGTCTCATCCCCTTGCACTTGAGCTGCCATCTGGGCAACAAAGAATAGTCCTGGATGATAGTGGGCTGTGCAAGGACCACCCCACTGAAAAGGCCTGCTCCGTGCTGTCCTGCTGGCACAAAGGGAGGGCCGTGCCAGCCTAGCCTGTGGGAGCCCCCAGCCCGCACGGCCAGCAGGAGCCAGGACGAAGGCTGCCTGCCGGTGCTGTAGTAGGAGGTCCTGCACCCCTTACTAACTTCAGAGTTTGGAGCCAGGAACCTCCTGAAGCTTTAGTTTCCTCATCTTTAAAATGCGGGGAACATGGTAGTCATCCCTGAGGGCTGTAGGGAGGTTTCAGTGTGCTAACGTACATAAGCTACTTAGCACAGGAAGCCCTTGACAAGCGTTCACGGGCAAGCTGCACACTCCTGGCGACGAGAGGCGGGGTGGGGGGTGGCGTTCTGCTCCACAAGGCCGGGCTGTGCAGCACGTCTGGCCTGCCTGCATACGCTGGTGTTACCTTCACACCCAGAAGGTTGTCATCAGGGTCCAGGACGGCCCTCTTTGGGAGGACCCTGAATGAACAGCATAGCCTACCAGACGTAGACGCAGGCCCAGGAGTCTGGAAAATGGGCTGATTCTGCTTTGGCAGCCCTGCCCCTGACTACTTCACGGGGAACATGGTTAGAACCTCACAGTGGCCAAGGAGAAGACCGTGCTGGAACTAGGCACTGGCGAGGGCTGGTGAGACCTTCAGAAGTCTCCTCACCTAAAGTCCTCACAGCCAGATGGGCCCAAAGAAGGGAAATGACCCACCCAAAGCAGCATAGAGAATAGCGGGACTGTCTCGAACCTTGGCCTTGGCGCCAGATTGCTTGGCTTCAAACACCTACTTTGGTGCGTCCTGGCTATACGATCAGAGCTTAAGTTTCCTCATTTATAAAGTGGTTCTGTTCTGAAGATTATATAAGATAATTCTAATTCACGTGGAGGAGTTCGTGGGGCACACAGTGACGTGAGTATCAGTCATCATCAGGTCACACTGCACTGCAATGCAGCCCTTTGTAAACAGGGATGTGTTTACGAACAGAGTACCTGGCCCCTGCTCAGAACAAGGGGTACAATGCAGGCTGGGCCAGCCTGCATCTCTCCTCACCCCACGAGGATGAGGATGCTCCCTGGAGCTGCTGACCCTAATGCTGCCCTTCCGCTCGGGCTTCTGTGGCTGCTGCGCTCACTGCCGTCTGGCTGCACAGGAGCAAAGTGCTGTGAGCGCACAGAGTGGCTCTCACACCGTCTTCCCAGGGGCTACGCAATGCCGAGGCCCCAGTGGGCAAGTGGCAGACAGCCTGTTCTTCAGGGACCACTGGAGTCACAGGAACAGAGGGAGCTTCTTGTCTAAGTTTCCTCATATATAAAATGAGGAGCAAGACCAAGACAAGGGGAATGACCTGCCCTTTGGAGACACAGTGATTTGTCTGTTGACGGATTACGAAGACACTGGCATCTATATTGTTTTTTATTTATAAACAGATCGACATAAAGTCAGTCCAGATGGCAGCCGGGGCAGTGGTGCTGCTGACTTGCTTACAAAGGGAGCACGTGGACAGTGGAGAGGGTGCAGCCAGATTCCAGCCTGGAGACCCTTCTCTCCCATCCATCTTAGGGCCTTCCTGGCCTAAAATCATTGGGCCCAACCTTCTTCGGCAGCTATGCTGGCCGGGGCAGAGAGCTGCGGTGGGGATGGTGCAGGCGGGGACTGCAAAGGGCCCAGTGGAGGAAGAGAGGGAAGGTGACAGGGACCCTCTCCTCCCTGTGTTGATTGATGTGGTCTAGACTCGATGGGTCTGTCCGTCCTGCGGAGATGTGCCTGGGTAATGTCCTCCGAAGAGGGCCGCCATCTCTCTGGAGAGGGCCTGTCTGGGGCCAGGGCAGGGCAGTCTCCCTCCTCCTGAAACCCAGTGTCTGGAGTGGGAGGAGTATGAACTGGAGGCCTTGCCCAAGTGCCAGAAACAATAAATTAACAATAAGAAAAGATTTTTTTTTAAAAAAGGTAGAGGTCTGCACCATGAATTTGGACTCTGCGGATCTTGTGAGGAGAAGGCAGGAGCTGTGGGGGCACAAGGTGCCACACCAGGCCCGGCGGATGGCGAGGGGACCTGGCATGAGCGTCACTTCAGGGTCCCATCTTCTGAAGCCTCAGGGGTCAGCCCTTCCCTCCATCACTTGGAAGGTGTTCAGTCTAAACTCCTGGGGAGAGCCTGGCCAGGCTTGAGAAATAAATACAGGGGACCTCAGAGCCGTGGCAGGGCTGAGGGGAAGAGCAGCACCAGCCCTGGGCCCCACACTCTCCCCTCCTCCGTCCTTCATGGAAGGACATATCATGGCAGGAGGGGTAGCAGTGGCAGCTCCACGCAGCCTCCTGGAGTCCCGAGGCGCCTGGACCTCACTGAGGTGTCTGGGAGCGGGCTGGCGGCCCTGTGCTCCGCCCCTTGGTTGTCTAGCTGCGTCTCCCTGTTCAGAACTTGCCCTGCTTCAGCCGGTCAATGTGGTAGGAGAGCTTGAGAGCGGGCCCCAGCTTCAGGCCCATGTACTTCATCATCATGTCGCTGCGCAGCAGAAGCAGGGCCTTGCCATCGATCTCCTGGGGGTGGAGGGAGGCGCCATCAGAGGCCTGGGTGGCACCCAGGGAGGGGCCAGCCACACGGAATCTGGTGAACCCCCTGTGACACTAAAGCCTACTTGCTCTCCCAGCTTGCCTCCACCCACCCCTCCCCCAAACATCCTCCACCGAACCCCCCAGGCTAAGCTCTTCACACACTTTTGTACCAGTTTCCTTTCTCTGCTCCCAAGAAGCAGTTTCCCACCCTCCCAAACCTCTGAGATCCAGCTCAACTCCATTTCTTCCCAGGAAGCCTCCCCGGTCAGTGTGCTTGTCACTCATCACAGAGTGTTTCTATATTGACCCTCAGTGTTACTCGGTAAGTCACTTTTCCTCCTGAGCGGCAGGGACCCCTCTGGGTGAGCCAGGCACAAAGCAGGCACTCACTGAGAACTTCAAGCCTGATCCAAGAGCACCCTCCATACCCACCTGGCATGAAAGATTTAAATAAGCATTGAGAGGCAGCAGATATGAGTGCCCCAAACACAGAACAGCAACAAGCAGGAGGGGCTGTGAAGAAGTAGGTCTGAACCCCAAGTCAGGAGAACAGTCACTGCAGGGGGATCAGCAGAAGTCCCTGGCCCCAGAGCCACGTGGTCACTTGAAGAGAGGCTGGAGGCCCATGGAGGGGCAAGTAGAGGGAGGGGGGACCAAGGAGGTTGGAGAATTGGGGGCCACTTGGCAAGGGACTCTTTAACTTGGACTGAAGCCCCTGATTCTCAGGTGAAGGCAGGTAGATCGGAGAGTAAGTGCTCCTAGGAAGAGGAGAGTCCTGCCCCTGGGACTGAGCCCACAGGCCACACACCCAGGAGGAATGTGGCTGAATCAGATCCTACACTAAAGGAGTGAGCTGAATTCAGTGTCCAGTGAGGGCCATCTAAGACTCAAGATTCTGCCTCTAAGTTTGTATGTGTCGCCTATGCTCAGTTTCAAGGGACCTGGAACAAATATATAGCTCGTGCTCTTTAAGAGTCTATAAGGTGCAGAAGCAAGACTTCAGTGGATACAGGAGAGGTCAGGCAGGAGCACCTACGTGTTTGCGAAAGAGGTCAGCGTGGGGTCCCAGCTGAGGATCAGCTTCCCGGACAAACTGCATCACATCCTCCACTGTCCACGAAGAGGGGTCCCGGCCACCGAGTCGAGAGGCATCCTGGCTCTCCAGATATCGGTCTGACCCTGCAGGACAGGAGGGCACCTGCCGTAACGGGCGAGGACTGGTCTGTAACTCCCCACCACTCTCCTTAGTGTGTCCCGATGGCCTTGTGGGTGAGGCTCACAGCAGTGTCAGGCAACCGAGGGAGAGAAGGGTTTTTCCAAAAAGGGCCCAAGGGTCTGAGACTCTTCTTCAGTCAAATCTTAAGGGTAGGTCTGATTCTGGACATGGTCAGAAGGACTTTTACACCGAGGTGGTGATTGAGCCTGGACCTGAGTCAGGGGATTACTTGGGTTTGAGGGGGCTGGTGAGTGAGGCTGCTTTTGCCTTGGATCTGGGCACCATTTCTAGAGAGACCTTGGGAGCCGGGCAGGGTTAGAGCCAAGTCCTTGGGGCCCAGGGAGAAAAAAAGTGATGAGTAATAATACCCTGTTCCTCTTCCAATGCCTGGAGAATAGTTGACTATGCTGTAGCCACACACATGAAGGCAGAGCACAGTTTTGCCTTGGCTGTCAGGAATCCCAACGTTAATTTAGTACTTTGCTTAGAGCTTTTATCTCAATAACAGCTCCTCCTATTTTCCTTGTGGGATCTGAGCTCTCTGCACTTTGATCATCACCTGCACAGATCTCAGCCATGTTTCATTGTCTCTGCCTGGAACGTGGCCTCCTCCTCTGCCTCCAGTTTCTCCTTTTCTTTTGGCAAACTACAACTTAGCTAAAGCAAGAGTTGGCTTCAAGGACCAGCTCCTTTATGAAACTTTTCCAGTCTAATCCTGAAATAATTGGTCTCACAAAGCATTTCGTGTATCTCTTGGTTATAGCTCAATCTCTACAGATTTCTCCCCATCACATCACTAATAATCTATTCTCCATAAAGCAGTCAAAATAACCTTTAAAAAGTAACTGGATCATGTCAACTCTCCCAAAAAACTCAATGCAATGTCCTTGCACTGCACACCTGAAATAAAGCTGAACCCCTTACCATGGTCTAGAAGGTATCCCATCATCTGGCCCTTTCTACCTTTGACCTCATGACCCCCTTCTCTCCACTTTACTTGCCAAGCTCCAGACACTCTGGCTTTCTTTCTGCTTCTTGAATAAGCTATGTTTTTATTCTTTGATCTGCAATTTCCTCTGCCTAAGATGTTCTTTTCCCCAGATCTTTGCATACCTGATTCCTTTCCAACGTTTAGGTCTCAAGCATTAATTCCTCTGAGAGGCCTTCCCTGATAGCCTAATAAAAATACTCAATTCCCCATAAAATCACGCTCAATTTAATTATTCTAGTTTTTTTCTTCCCAGCATACATCACAACATAAAATCATATCATGTATTTATGTTTATTATCTGTCTTCTTCTGTTTTGTTCCCTGCTATCTTCTTGTGATATTGTGATCAATAGCAAGAAACATACATATTTGGTCTTCATCTCCTTTTCTGGCCCAGAACTCCTAAAACTCTTGGAATTTCCTAAGTGGTGAAAAAATAAAGGTGTTTTTTGCTATTCACAAGCCCCTTTCAACTACGCCTGAGTATGTTAATGAGGTGACTTTTGGAAAGCCCCTAAGGATAGGAGCTGGTTGCCAGAGGAACCAACCAGGAGTTTAGAAGGTGGGAACTTTCAGTCCCACCCTACCAACCTCCAGGGAAGGGGGAGGGGCTAGAGATTGAAGTCAATCACCAATGGCCAATGACTTAATCTTGCCTATGTAATGAAGCCTCCAGAAAAGCCCAAATGACAGGGTTCAGTGCGCTTCTGGGCTGGTGACTGCACGGAGGTCCTGGGAAAGCGGTGTCCCCAGGGAGGGCTGGGCAGCTCCACACCCCTCCCCATACCTTCCCCTACAAATCTCTCCCATCAGGCTGCATCCTTTTATTTAAAAAATTGATAACCTAATGAGTAAATAGTTTTCCTGACCTCTGTGAGATGCCGTAGCAAATTAATCAAACCCAAGGAAGGGATGATTGTGGGAACCTATAATTTATAGCCAGTCAGGTAGAAGCACAGGTAACAACTTGGACTTTTCAACTGGGGATGGTGATGGTGTCAGTCTTGTGGGACTGAGCCCTTAACCTGTGGGATCTGACGCTATCTCTAGGTAGCTCTTGTCAGCACTGAGTGAAACTGCAGGACAACCAGCTGGTGTCGCAGAACTGCTTGGTGTGTGGAGACCCACACGTCTGGTGGCAGAAGTGAAGCAGTGTTGAACAGAGTGCTGAGTGAAGGGAGACACAGGAGGACAGTGTTTCCCTTTCACAGGGCGTGGAAGAGTGCCTGCTCTGCCACAACAGATGTTCAGAAACGTTTGCCGAATGAATGAGCGTATGTAACAGCTCCTTGCATAGCTGCCTGCCTCCTCCATCAGACTATGTCTGTCTTGAGGTAGGGACCTTGCCTTGCTCGTGTCTACACCCTCCCCACCCAGGAGATGCCCAGTCAACAGCTAAGTGGCAGAGATGAAACATACCTGTGGAAGGGACCTACTCTTCAACCATGTTTTGCAGAGGCTAAAGATCTCCTCTCATTTTCCCTCATTCTGGGCCCAGCTCTAAAAGCTGATGCACACTTGGCTTGGCCCACCCCCTGCTCCCTGGGAAAGAGACTCAGGCATATTATCTCAGCTGGGCACTGACCAGACCAGGGGAGGAGTGTGCTGGAGTAAGCAGGGTGATTGGAGCCATAGAAATTCCAATGGCTTTTTGAGTGTATAGTAGAGGGAAGTTGGAGTAGGCCATGTGAGCCAGCCACTTCTCCCTGCCCTAAAAGTCTACTGTGATGCTGAGACAGAAACCAGCTGCAGAGATTATGGAGAGCAGAGAGGAGATATGCACATAAATGTATCCTTCTTGGGTAGGAGGAGTGGTGATGCATGTAACAGAGGACCACGTATGCCACTGAAAAACCACTGGCTTTTCTGAAGATTGGTTTTGAGCAGAGAAATGACAAGAACCAACTTACATTCTCACAGTCTATGTTGATAACAAGACTTTAGAGGGGAAAGGACAGAAGCAGGGGAGACCAGTTGAAAAGGAGATGACTATACTAGTCCAGGCAAGAGATGACTGGCATGTACCAGAGATGACGTGGTGAAGAGTGGTCTGACATGTGAACATTATACAGAATCCCCAGCATTGTCGGCTCATTTGACCCTTAAAACAGCTTTTGAAGGAAGTATCATCATCTTTAGTTTAGAGATGAAGGAACTGAGGCCCAGAGAAGTGAAGTGGCTTGCCCAGGACCACATGGCTAGGAAGGAGACAAGTTAGTGCCCTGTCTGTCTTTCCCTATTCCCGTTTCTGCAGATAGACTATCCCAGGGTTCTCCTCCACCACTCAGTGGGCACAGCTGGTGGGCACACTTCAGGGCTCCACTGTGGACCTCGCTGGGGTTCGGGCCAGGGAGGGGCAACCAGGCTTCTCTCCCTGTCCCAGCCTTCCTGAGAGCCAGCTCTCCTGAGGCCACTTCTTACCACTGCAGGCCTTGCTAGTGGAGTCTTCTTACTCTTTCACACCTGATACACCCCTGGGCAGAGGAGGCCGCAGCGGTTGTGTAGATGGCATCCTCCTATCTCCTCGCTGCTGCGCTTAGAACATCCTCCTATGAGAGCTCATGTTCTTCAGAGGCCAAACATGTACCTGACCATCTGCTCTGTCTGATCACTTTCATCTATAGACCTCTGGGTTTCTGCTCTTTGTTAAATAACTTTTTGTTACTTAACTCACCACCTTCTATTCCACCCTAATTCCTGCCATAATTCTCAGAGGCAATCCATTCAACTGCCTTGCTTCCAGTGACTTTCATCTCTATTCTTCTTCAAATACCTTCTGCCGAGGCCACTGTCTGGTTCTTGCATCACTTGGAACAAATCTACTTCAGGATTTTAAACAACCCCCTCTCTGACCCCAACCTCCCATCTTCCCAACTCTCACTATAATCATTACATCACAAAGATCTTTGGCACATCAAACTTACAACTTCTCCCTCCTTCAGCCCCTCCTTGGTCTTGCTTCCTCCCTGCCCTGCCCAGATTCAGTGCTGATGATCTCAGCCGCTCTTCCTCCAGCCCCACTGATTACATGCTCCCACACCCCCTGTACCCTCTTGCCCTGCTAGCTTAACATAAAACCTTAACCATCAAAGTGTCTTTTCTCATCTCACATCTGGATCTCTAAGAACCACAGAAGAAAACCATAACTCTTGCAAACTGGCAAACTCGTCTCTAAGTGCTAAGCATTGCTGGGCCTCTGGTGTTTCCTGCAAACCATCCCTGCCTCCTTGATCCGTCTCCTCCTGTCTTCTTCATAGCTGTCCCGTCTTCCAGCACTCCTAGGGCCTTCCCTCTTCAGCCCTCTCTCCATTCACTAAGGGCCACAGTAAATCTTCCTTCCAGTCTCAAAGAACAAGCTGTGCCTCCTTCTGTCTTATGACCGATCCCTAATCTTTCCCACCACCCTCCAAGGCCTTACTTTCTCCTCTTTCTTACATCCTTAATTTCTTCTTCTCGGAAGGCTCACATTGTCTGCTGATACACATGCCAGAGTGCACCACTCTAGAAGACTTTATTTTGAAGCTCACCTCTTTCTTCTCTCATCAAATTCTTCTTGATATCCTGACCACTGCAATCTGCGCTCACCGCCTCCAGCACCCATGAGCTGCTCTTGCTACGATCACCATTACCCACTAATCATCATATCCGATAGAAACTTCTCAGTCCTTATTCTACCAAACCTTTTTGGACTGTACTCTTATTAAAATACTCTCTGTACTCCTGGCCACCACAATATCACATTCTTCTGTTTTTTCTCACGTTTGACTATTCCTTTATCTCCTTGGTGGGGTCCACTTCTTGTTTCCTCCTCCTGAACTTCGTTGGTTTACTGAAATCCCTCTTTGGTTCCCTGTTCTTTTCATTCTAGACGTCCTCCTGGGAAGTGGGTCTCATTCACCCCACAGCTTCAGCTTTCATCTATATGCCAAATATTTAACTTCAGCTCAGTCCTCTTCCCTGAGGATCAGACCTGCATAGCCACTGCCTGCTGGGTATCACTTAGATGACTCACGGGTTCCCTCCCCTTCTTTCTCTTCTATGGTTGGTTCCCTCTCTCAGTGAATGAAACCACCATCTATCCAGCCACCCCTTTCAGAAACCTGGGAGACATTTCCACTCCTTCCTCACAACCCTCAAATCTAATTAAATTTACCGCATGAACAGTTTTGAAATCTATTCTCTGTTCTACAAACCTTCTACCTTAATCTAGGCCTTTGTCATTTCTGGTCAGGGCTATGCTAGTAACTTCCTAAGTGGTCTCTCTAGTTTTGTCCTTCCTCAAATCCATCCTCAACACAGTAGTCAATGATCTATTGGAAACACAAACCCGTTTAAGTCTTGCCTTTAATTAAAAGTCTCCGTAACTTCGCACTACCTACAAGATCAACTCCAAACTCTTTAATATGACACTTAAGGCCCTCTATGATATAATCCCTGCCACTTCCAGGATTTTCTCTTTAAAGTCCCAGAATTACATTTTGTTTTTCAGCAATACCAAGCTGCATGCAGCTCCTGGCACAATCTGTGTTAGCGCTTATCCCTCTGCCCTGTTCGTGCTGTACTCTCTTCCTTGGAAAGCTCTCCCTCCCCTACCACCCTGATACATTCACACAGTTGACCTTTAAAATCTCAGACACTTTCTCCAGGAAGCTGCCCGTGGCTACCAAGCTTGGGTTAGGTGTTCCTTCTGGCAGTCTCCATACAACGCAAAGCTTATCTCTGTAGCCACACTCAGATGGTTGTTTTACAACTATCTATTTAAGTGTTTGTCTCTCCCACAAAACTCTGAGCTCCCTGAGGACAAGAAGTGATTGATTTTTGTATCCTCCATGACAAACACAGATGGTGTTCAAATAAATGACTAACAAATGAATGAATGAATGACTCCTTTCCTGTCCCTTTAGCTCTAGTTCTTTGGCTGTTAGTTTCTGTTATTCTCCAGCCAATCCTAGAGCTTCAGTTGCTCCCCAGGTGCCTAGCCAGGCACAATGGTAGCCCAGAACCCAGTCACCACCAGGCAGGGAACAAAAGAGTGAAGTCCTTTCTGGCCTCCCAGGGCTCAGGAAGGAATGGAGGAAAGAATGAGACAGGGCAGGAGAGCCAGAACTCTGAAAACCTTACCCCTCGAACAGAGCCTATGCACAGCTGAGGCAGTGCTCAGTGGAAGGCCACAGGATGGAAGCAAGGGCCGGTACCCAGGGGTTCGAACATTTTGCGAGGTGCTGACAAGGTTGGTGGGATTCAAGGTGGAGTCCATTGAGTCTGAGTGTGGCTCCAAGGACCGGGCCAGACTATTTCCCAGGGCAAAGGTCTCACCTGGAAAACAGTAAAACCAAAGTTAGAGCAGGGACTAGCCTGGAAGGACTGCCAGAGTGCTGGTTCCCAGGAACCTGTCTGGGTGGAGTGAGAGCGAAACAGAGAGCCCTGGGCAGGGTCTCAGGAGGCCTGTGTACCAGTCATGGCTCTGGCTCTCACTTTAGTCAAGCCCAGTGCCACTCTCTGGATTTGGATCTCCTCAGAGACTCTTCCTCTTACATTAGATGGTCTTTGAGTTTTCTTCTGGTCTGGATGTCTTATGCTTTTTCTGGATAAGGAAAACCTTAAAAAAAAGAAAGAAAGAAAAGCAAGCAAGCAAGCAAGCAAGCAAGCAAGCAAGCAAGCAAGCAAGCAAGCTATTCTGGGAAGAGGCTGCCCTAACACACAAGATGCTAGAGCAGGGAGGGAAGAGGGGTGCAGAAGAAGAAATACACTTGCTTAGATGAAGGCACTTTCGAAGCTGACCCTCTAAACCAGCAGGACATCTAAGAAATGTTTCTTAATGCCTGACTAGAAGCCTGCCTGCAAAGGATCTGCTACTATGTTTCCTCCCTCCCTTCATATTTGCCTTGTTCTATGGAAACATTCCAAGGACGATGGGGTTGTGCAATAGCGAGAGTGTGGGCATGCAGACCAGGATCTGGGTTAGAATTTGGCTCTGCCACTCAGCAGGCAAGGTGCTTCCCTCAAAACCTCAGCCTCCTAATCTATAACATGGAAGGCCTGTTTCTTCCAAGGAATTTGTGAATATCAAAAGAGAATGGCTATGAAAGCCTTTATAAAGGGAATCTCATCCTGACATTTCTATACCATGGCCATGGCCGGAACCCCAAGCAGGAGCCCCTAATCACTGCACTAGAGAACTTGAAGCAGACTCTCTCCCATGGTTGGCTTTTACCCGCACCAAGTCAGGTCACCCACACCTCAACCCTGGCCACTGCATTCTCAGCTTATGGGAGATGTCTTGGGTATAAGACCATACACCCTGACCTTTGTGGTTTTTCTTAAAGATTGGGTGTTTAGATAATGCTTGGGATTCATTTAGAGCCTCTGATGAACACTAAATTCAAACAGATCGTCTGGCACACAAAAAGACCTCTGGGACAAGATGGTTTAAAATTTTACGACTACTTTCTAATAGTCACCTAACATTTCTTGGTAACCATGGGATTATAGTCAAACCTAGCATGAGACAGCTATTCATCTTATCTCAGGAAGGTTAACTGATGAGGCCCCTCCCTAGAAATGGTTCGGAAGAGAGAAGTCTCTGAGGCTCCAGGATACCGCACTCCATTTCTGCAGGTGAGGTTTTAGATTTCTAGTTTCTAAGAGAGATGATTATACAGTAGTGTCTCAGTTTGAGACAAGAACAGGAATCCAATCCAGGAAACAAGGTGCCTGGGTTCTACTTCTGGGATCCTGCCTTTTACCAAGTACGTGATCCAAGGCAAGATGTTTGTCTTCTTTGAGAACCAGTTTCCTCATCTGTAAAATGGCAAAAAATCACCCTCTGTTATGCTGAGAGCATCAAATGAGAAAACAGAATGGGATGGAGTTTACAAAGGTGGGGAGCTGTATTTTATTCTTCATTCAGAGTTGGAGTGGCAAATCCAAGTTCTCTGCAATAGCTCAAGAAAAAGATGAACTCTAATTTCTGTATTTATCAGCACAGTAATAATCTCATCTTTTCAACCCTCATTTTACTCGGTGAAGACTGGAAGGAGTTCACCTGCTTCACCTGAGCTAACAGATGTGAAGAATAATTATGATGACAATGCCAGGGGCTTACCAGATGCTGACGCAAAATCAGTGTCTCTTCCTCTTGGCAGTGCTAAGCATGGCAACTGAAATCTGGATTTTGAGTTGAGGGGGTCTGAAAATCTGGACTAGTTGCACCTGGACTAGGCAAGGTCATTAAATCTTATCCTAATGAGATGCAGAGGAAGAATGAAGTATTACGCCCAAAGCTCTGGGAGGTCCCGTCTGCTGAAGGCTGATCAAATGAGACCCTGGCTACCATCAGGAGGATAATGTCAGGGTAGAAGACTGCTGTGCTTTCCAGCTGTACTTCACAGAGCCCTTACAACTCCCAGCTTCTGGGTAGAGATCTGGGCAGCATCCCAGCTTCTATCAAAACAGCTCTGGTTTTAACTTTTGCATACCAGTTTCATATAATCTTACCTTTGCAAAAAAGGAGTTCCACTACTAAAATAAAACAAGCTTTGAAATCACTGGCCCAAAGATCAGAATTTGGGGCTGGAAGACTTGAGTTCTATTCCTGGTATGATCATTAGTCAATGATCACCATCCTTTTTCTGGGATTCAGTTTGTGTATCTATAACATGGAGATGAAAACACTTAACCTCAGAGGGTCAATGTGAATAACATTTTCTATTGATATCCTGGAGACATGAGAACAATCAGCATGAGAGGGAGCTCACTCATTCATCAACAAACATTTGTTGAGGACCCTTTGTGTCCTGGTCACTGTGGTACGTATGGGGTATGCAGAGGTAGACAGAGACAATGACCTTGCTCTTACATGCTATTTTCAGTGAGAAGCATATCTTCTGAGTATCACATTGCAGGGCTGAACTTAAAAACTAGAGTTCCTGGTGGAGGATGACCAGAATGGTGGTGAGAGGCCTAGAACTCATGGCAGAAGAGAATGAGCCTGGGAATACACAGTCTGGAGAAAAGCCAGGGGAGACAGACACCCTAAAGGCAGTCATGGGAAGGGAAGAGGGCTGGAGACAGATTTGTTCTTTTGGAAGGCAGAGAGAACAGGGGGCAGGAATTAGAAGAATGTAGATTTTAGCTCAAAAAGGAAGGTATTTTAGTGATCAAAAGTGTCCAACAACAAAACTGATTGCCAAAGGTGACTGGGAACAACATATCATTAGGAGTTATTAAGCAGAAGTCAGACAACCACCCTTGTCCGCTGGGCTAGACACTAGATCATCTCGAAAGCCATTTCTGCTTCTGAGATTCAAGGACTCTGTGCTCAGAAGCCTGCTTTCCCCTTCATGAGGGTGAACTGAATGACCAAGAAACAATTAGAATTATGGATCTAAGAAAATTCTTACACCAACACAGGACTCAGTGACCATCCCAGGTCTTATGTATGCTTAAGTCTCTCCCATGTTATAAAAAACCTCTCTCTTAACCACGTGTCCCACATCCTCTACTAAGTACTCTTGCATTCAACAAATATTATTAAATACATACTATGTGACTCTTAGGGTGATGGATACTGAGAATGGTGAAAAAGATAGATATCACTCCTTCCCTCATGGATTATATAATCTAGCAGGGAGAATGATAAAATACAAGCTGAGAAATAGAAATTATTATAAATATTACTAAGGAAAGAGATAGGGAATTGAGACAGAAAACAACAGGGAGAGCTTTCTTAGGTGAGGAGACCCTGTGAGGCTTCTCTGACAACTTGATGTTTAAGCTGTGCTCTGAAGAAGAGTCCACATGGAGGTGTGCTAGACAGTGTGTGCTCGGTTTTATGGGTCACTGGAGACCCTAAATGAATCCCAAGCATCATCTAAACATCTGATCTCTAAGAAAAACTACAAAGGATGGGAATGTGGTCCAGGACCCAGGATACTCCTCACATGCAGAGAATTCTATGGGAAGGGCTATGGAACTGACTAGGTTTGGGTAGGATCACAGGAAAGAATCTGCTGTGGGTTCTCTGGTGCAATGGCTAGGGGTTGCTGCCTGGTCACATTCAGAAAGATGGTGAGGTAGAAGCAGCTTGTAATAGTCATGGAAATGGGGAAAAACAGGTAGCTAAAATATAGGGAACAAAGAGATGAGTTTGGAAAGGTAAGCAGAGACAAGATCATGCAGGACACTGCAATCCAGAGTAAGACATCTGGATTTTATTATAAGTGCATTAGAATGCCACTAAAGAGTTTTAAGTGGAGGAGTGCTATAATTTAATTTGTGCTTTAAGAAGACCATTTAGGCTATTAAGTAGACAATGGACCAGAGAGGAACAAGAGAGGTAGTAAGGGGACAAGAGATGCTAGAAAAGATCTCTCAGGCCAGGAGAGGGAAGATGATGGTAAAGGCTGTAGAGATAAAATAAACATGGATTCAATATACATTTTGGATTTCCACTGCCACAGTCCTGGAATAGCAAGGATCCAATAAACCCTATTGCTTGAAACAACTAAAAGGAAGGGCAAAAAATATGAAGAACAGTTTTCAGACACTGAACATTAGGTAGTGCAGGACAGCAATTTCTGAAAAAGGGGAAACAGGTGAGGTGAGCCCTAGGCTTGCTCCCAGCTTACTGTCTGGAGAGTTTCCAGGCCACAGTGCAGGGAGGGGAAAATCAGACAGAGCCCAGTGATCTCCCAGAGTTGAGGAGACAGAGCTGGGAGTCCAGGTAGAACACGGAGCTAAAGTTCACAGGCCAGAGTACTGGACAGGTGATTTAACTATATTTCATATGTTCAAGAAGGTAAAGCAAAGACTGAGCATGTTAAGTAGAGACACTGAAGATAAAAAAAGATCCATATTGAACTTTTAGAAGTGAAAATACGATGTCTGAGATGAAAAATACTTGGGATGGATTAACAGCAGATCAGACACTGCAGAAGAAATGACCAACTAACTTTACCATAGCTATAGAATTTATCCAAAGTAAAACACAGAAAAAAGGCTAAAAAAATTTTAAAGACATCAGTAAACTGTGGGAAAATTTCAAGAGGATTAATATATGTCTAATTGGAGTACCCAGAGGATAGGTAACAGAAAATATATATGAGAACGAATTACAGAAATTTTTTCAAATTTGATGTCAACTATAAACCCACATATCCAATAAGCTCAGTGAACCCCAAACACAGGAGGCATGAAGTAAACCTCAGCAAAGCACAGCATAATCAAGTTGCTTAAATAGAAAACCTAAAAAGCATCCAGAGGAAAAAGATGCACAGAACAGACCAAGATAAGAATGACAGCAGACTTCTCATCAGAGACAACACTAGCAGAAGGCAACGGAGCCACATCTTTAGGGTGGCTCCTAAACAACAAAAAAGTCAACCTGAGGCTCTAAAACTCAGCACAAGTACTTTTCAAAAACAGAGACACAAAAGCTGAAAGAACTCAACTACAGCAGACCATAACTATGAGGAATGTTAAAGAAAGTCCTTCAGGCAGAGAATGAGATTGTATGAAAGGTGGCTCTACACTAAAGAATGAAGAGTAGCAGAAATGGCAACTGTGAAAGGGTAAATATAAAACAAATTTTATTTGAAAAAAAAACTTTAAAAGATAATTACCTATTTAAAGTAAAATAATAACAATGTAAAGTGGATTTATAATATGTGTAAAAGTAAAATGTATTAATTATAATAGCATAAATGCCAGGAAGAGAAAGTGTACTGTTTTGAGGTTCTTATGCTATATGTAAAGGGATATGATTATTACTTCAAAGTAGATGGTGATATGTAAAAAATGTATAATATAAACTAAAGCAATTACTAAAATAACAAAGAGTTACAGCTAACAAGCCAACAAGAGAAATAGAATAGAATTATTAAAAAACTGGATTAATCCATAGGAAGGCAGAAGAAAAGGGAAAAAGGGCACACCGAACAGATGGAACAAATCTCTCCACCCACAGCTTTTTCCCTTTGTTCTTTCAGGTCCTAAAAAGTATAGATCTGGGCTAAACTGTCCTTTCACTTGGATAATTACACTAATGGTACTTGTGGTATGAAAGACAAGGTCTGGGTATTGTGTAGGAGGGGAAAGCTGAGACAAAAGCAAACAAAATTATTTTGCATCGTAAATGAATTTGGAGCTGCCTGCTGACGGCCTAAAACGGAGGAGGTATGGGATGGAGGGAACAGAGAAATCAGAGGAAAAAGGGAATTCTCCAAATCCTAGAGTGGGTTCTAGAAAATGGCAGGAGGCTGAGGCCTAAGATGAAAGATGAGGCCAGCAAGATTATCACCTATAGCATCTGATAAACACAAAGATAAAACAAAATGTTAAACTGCTTCCTGTTCTTTGTGGTAATTAATCTTCTTCCCCCTCAAACCTTCAGTGTAAGTCTATTACACCGAAAAGCCTTGTGTTAGTTTTTCCTTAGGGAAATGAAGGATGAGGAGCTGGGTCAAATCGCTGGGGCAAAGTGCTGTAGGAGAGACAAGCAGCTTCGGGTGTTGACAGGGAAAGAGGGGATTAAGAACTGACTCAGAAGCAGGAGTTCTGAGCTGAAAGTATGGACTGCTACGGGGAAAATGTAAACTTATTCTGGGTTATGTGGGATGGGGGTTCCCTGTATCTAGATTTGGATATCAAAGGAAAGAATAATCCTCAAATCTAGGAGGCCTCTCAGAGTTAAAAAAACCTCCAACTGGTTTCCCTGCCTACCTCTTGCTCCACCTCCCATCTTCTCTCCCACATAGTTAAGTATGCTGAGTGAGCTTTAAAAAACACAAGTCTTCCCTGACATATCTGGTTTGAACTCTTGAACTCTGAAGTTGTTCTGTTAAAGCGCTCATCACCATGAATTAATTTATTTGCTTGTTTGTTCATATTCTCTACCAGGCTATAAACGCTGTGGGTGCAAGGACCTTGACTCTTAGTTTACAATGGAATCCCTCATGCCTAAATCAGAGCTTGGCGATGTGCAGTCAGTAAATACTGGGCTGACTGACTGTCTGACTGAATAATGGAATCACTACAGTTTCAGTTAATTATGAACGTTTGAGTCATCTCAGAACTGTGACAGTTCTATGAGGAAAGCCTGTGTGGGAATGAAGGGGCATTCTAAGAAATTTCACAGTTCTTTTTTGGCTTTTATCCTGCAAATTTTGGGGCTTGGCAAGAGAACCACTTTATAACTAGCTCAGAAGAACTGATGTCAGCTACAAAGACAGGCACAGGGAACTCATTGTCATGGGACAAATGAAGCACTTCCTCCAGCAGAAGGCAACCTGGGCAACTCTAAAACAGCAGACCCAGAGGTTAATGCCAAGAAGATTTCAATTACAGTTAAGATTAACAGTCACTGGGACCCACTAATTAATACACTCTCCTATTTATTAGCAGCAGTTTTTAGAGAACCAGAAAGAGCCCCCTCTCACCTGATCTTCACAGGCCCCTTACTTGATCCAGCCAGACGTGTAGGTCTGAAGAAAAAACTCTAACCTGACATTGCCTCCCTCAGGAATCCTTCCCTGACTTCTTCTTTCGCCTTATTCCTTCATCACTCCTGGCCGGGCCAGAGTACCTCTGTTCCACGCCCTTACCACGTACCTGTTTACCAGTATCTCCCACTCTCAGCTGGGAACTCTTTCAGAGCAGGGATTGAGTGTGTTTTCTTGCCATCTCCCCGGAGTCCACTATTGGATCTAGCACAGAGTAAGTATTTGATAATGTCTGATGACCTGAACAATTGGCCTGAATTCTTCAAAATGCAAATGTCATGTTATAGAGGGTAGGAAAAAAAGTCTGGAAAACTGCTCGAGATTAAAAAAAAAACCAAAGCCTAAAGAGACAGAACAACTAAATGCAGTAGATAATCCTTCTTTGGATCTTGGATGGGGGGAAAAAGCTACAGAGGGTACAGCTGGGACAACTGAGGAAATCTGAATAGGGGCTGCATACAGCTGCTGGCAGGCTTTATCAATGCCATATTTCTCAAGTATAATAACAGTATTGCGCTCCTTGTTCTTAGGATATACAGGCATTGAAGGATCAAGTCTCTCATCTGCAGTTAACTCTCAAATGGTTCAGTAAATAAACAAAAATATACAGACACAATGATAGGTATATATACTTAAAGAAACAAAGTAAATATTGCAAAAGATAAGAGGTAAATCTAGGTGAAGAGCACATATGGCTGCTCACTGTACTACTTGTACAACTTTTCTCTAGGTTAGACATTTTTCAAAATAAAACACTGGAGTTAAAAACTAAGTCTGAACTTAGGTAAGGAAACCTAACAGGATCTGCATTTGATGACTATCAGCTGTTCTGGAAAAGGGTGGTCAGTTAGGCCAAGACCCTACTGGGTAGTGTGGAGACAAGATCATAGGGAAGGGAGAGGGTTCCAGTAAGTCCCTGGATAAGAGAGGAGGTACCTTTGGATGTTGAACTAGCAGAAGTGTGTAGCCAGGCAGAAGGGTGGGAGTGATAATTACCAGATCTGAAGGGCAAGGGAAAAGAAAGCCTTTATGCAGATCAAGGTCATTGGCAGAGGTTTGGGTAATTAATCAGAAAAGTGCAGGAGATGATAAATGATAAGAGGTGGATCAAAGGGTCAGGCAGGCAGGCAGGTAGGTAGGCAGGCAGGCAGAAAAGATAAGTGAGGGAGCAAGAGAAGTCAGAAATCTAGGAAAAGCTCTGGTTTGTCTGGGCAAGAAATGGGTTTGTACCCATTCTTCCAGAATCTCAGGTAGGGCTAACTTTAATGACTGAAGTGTAGCTCAGAATTCCTGAATGCCAACAGCTGGTGAGAACCTGCCTCTGTCTGCACCAACTCCACCATGCCCAGTTCAGACTCCCAGTGCAATATCCTAACTATAAGTAATACCTTCTTCTGTTCTCAGAGATTTTGATGCTGAAGGAAAGCAATATAGAGTAGGTTAATGAGAAGTTCTCTCTGAAGAAAAGGCTCAGTGAGGGGATCACAAATATGTCTGCAGGGACCAGATGGAGCATTTGAAATTCAGGTATCTTGTTGCCCTGCACGCAAGTCACATAAGCAATTCTCGTTTGGGTGCAGAAGTATAGACAGAGGTGATGGGGGAGAGGGAGAGGCTGGGTGAGCAGTCCCTTCCCCAAGCACATTCTCCAGAAGTGGCACTTTTATCAGAAGTAATTCTGTTAAGACAATGACAAAAAGACAAGAGGGACGGCAGTGTGGGAATAAGACTTGTGCAGGTCAGAAGGGAGTACCTTTTGGATTTATGCTCCCTCATCACCAGACAGCACAGCCCCAGCGCTGACAGCACTACGCTTCTATTCCTCTGGCCAGGATGAGGTCCAGAGGACCCTCTTAAAGCGCCTTTCCTCCCTCTCTCCACATGACCTACCTCGCTAGGTTTAAGGTCGAGCTTTCCTCCCCTCCCTGCCGTTCTGTGTCCTGTGCTCCGGATCAGAGATGCCGAGTTCCATTCACTCAAACCTTTCTTGGAAGTGCTTAGTCACTGATCCAGCCACGTGGCATCCGCTTTCCCGTTGTGGGTCTGGTATGTTAACTAAGAAAGTTATTTTCCAATCTAGTTAGAAACAGCAGGAACTTGAACTGACTTGCTAGACTGGCAGTGCTGGAGGAGGTAGGGCCACATGCCAAAGGAAAGAGTGTATGGCTGGCCAATCACCAGGGAGCAAATTTCTCAATCTGTAGCCTGAGACTAAACCTTCCTGCTGGCAAGGGAGATCAGGGAGATCTATGTTAGGCCTTTGCTGCCAGATTCACACTGGGAGATGTCTTGTGACTTCACGGTGGCTCCATGTGCAGTTTAAAGCTCAGAAGGAGAACCGTGGACCACCATTTTCTAGGGATAAAAATCCAGAGGAAGAGGGTTAATCTTAGAGATAGGAGGCAAAATCCTGAAGAGAGTGTAAAGATAAGAGGAGACCAAAAAGTCCCAGATGTGGCAAAGATAAGGGACAGAAAATCAGATCCCTGGGTAGTAGGTGCCAGGCTAGTAGGCCTGAGGGCTGGCTGGCCCCAGGCCCTCACTGCTGCTGCTACTCGCCCTGCCCCCCTTTCTTAGCCCAGGCCTTGCCCCAGCTCCTACCTGGTAGGTACCTGTCGTGGCTGTGGCTGTACTCTGCGGTGGTGAGTGACAAGTGAGTCTGTGTAAAGGGCTGGTTGCCAAACAGATTGTCACTGCGAAGGTTGTGGCAGAGTTTCTCCAGGAAGCGGAGGACGTAGGTGATGCTGTTGACTGCTGGGAGGTTGAGGGTGTGCTGCTCACGGTCAAACACGGCTGTGGAGTTAAGTAAACAGGGCCGAGCACGTCAGCTTGCCAGCGCAGTGCAGCGCAGAGCTGGCCGGAGGAGTCCAGCCCACTGCTTGCCTCAGGCTAACCTGGTTACACAGAGGCAATCAGTGCTCAAGTTTCCTCCCTCCCTCCCTCCCTTCCCCTCCCTCCCTTGAGGGTTTGATTTTTGCCTCCAACTCCAAAGGGCTTGCAATAATGGGAGTGGCCAGGCCAGGTCTGTTGCACTGGCCTGTCGGGGCTCTGGAATGGTTTTATTCAACCTGTACAAACAACGGTGAACATAATTCTATCTGCTCCATCAGCTGGCTGGGCCTCCTCCAGGAAATTTGTTCATTTAGGGTTCCATTTCCGTAAGAACTGCCCAAGGACAGACAAGCTGGGCAGAAGAGGAGAATACAGATACTGCCAGCAATGGCCTGGGCGCACAGTCCCACCTGGATAGAGGCAACTGGAATTTCAGCGACATTTGGAACTATTCCATGCTTGGTTTTGTTTTGTTTTGTTTTGTTGTTTTACTCCCTAGTTTTTATTAAAACGTATCTGTATAATCCTTAAAAAGCAAAAAGCCTCTGTGTCTGTCTCTGAGAACAGCAAGGAAATGGGGAGATAGGTCACTCTCAGGAATCAATTTGGGGGCAGAGGAGGAACTCTAGAGAAGCTATGGGCGAGAGCTGCTAAAGAAGGCTGGGTCCCCACAGCTGCCGCCCAGAAGCAAAGGAGAGGCCAGGCAGAGGCCCTGGCCTCAGAAGAAAAGGGAGGCTTGATTTCCCATGCAGTTCTCAGCCTTCTATAAAGATTCCTTCCCTGCCTGCCCCCATCCTCCCCGCAGCCAATTACTCCCTCATCTGGGCTCCTACACCAGCCTGCACACATTTCTCACATATTCTAACACCTCCCACAGTTAGCTGTGAGCTATTCTTTCTTTTCCACCAGGGCAGAGCCTGAGCATGGCATCTTCTCTCCTCCCTCTCCCCTGGCCACCGTCTGGCAATAACCTCTGACGTACAGTAAGAGCTCAGTAAATGTTTGCTAGAAGAATCCAGTTGTATTTATGGAGTCTTCCATGCCAGCTGGATTTCTTGAGGCTGGACATTGCAACTAGTTAGAGTTAGAGGGCCAGGAGATTAGGGCAGAGATTAAAAGGCTCTAGGTCAAGTCTTCATAGGTTTGGTGGGTAAAGAATAGAGTTTTAGACTTAGGAGAATGGAAACAGGACCAGCACACAGCAGAAAAAGTGACTATTCTCAGTGAAAATAAAGGGATACACACACTCACACACTCACACACACACACTCTCTGTCACACACACACTGTAACTGACTCAGAGTCTCATGGAGAGGGATGATTCTTCCCACTCTGCCCTGGGATTCAACTCCCCTGTATCAGGGCTGGCTTAGGACTGGGAGGCTAACGAGTCAAAAGAATGAGACTAGAGTTCTGAGGTTCCCTGAAGCCAGCTGGGAGGCTGTGGCAGTCTGGGGAACCTCTCCTGTTGAAACAGCCCCCTCTGGATTTCTTCTTCTGGAGTACCTTCAGAGCAGTACCCTGGTATTTTCTGTATGGGAGAGGCGAGGCAGGCAGGCAGGAGAGCAGTCTGTTCAGCGGCTCAGTTGAGCACAGTCTATGTGGGTATTCTACTCAGCAGCAATAGGCAAAAGACCCAGAAGGGCTCTGGGAGTTGAAAATGAGGACTCTCCAAGGAATGGAATACTCTAATATTTCTCCAGAGCCTACAGGTGTGAAGTAGAAACCAGGATGCCTTCCTGGAAATCAGCCAGTTGAGAAGGCCTGCCCCTCTGGCTAGGAACCATACCAGCCCCAGGGTGCTTACCTGAGATTACGGCACCACCGTGGCCCCGTTTGAGGAAGCCGAAGACGGTTTTCTGGTGATAAGCACAGTCGATGCAAGCCTGGACGGCCTGCTGCAACACCACGGAGGCGCGGGCTGGTCCGAAATGGTCGGGGAGCTGCTGGACCTTCTTCTTATCTAAGTGGGGGCCCGTGCTGCCTTTCTTGTTCAAGTAAATACAAACTGCAGGAGACAAAGAATCAAAGCAGCTTAAAGAGCATCCAGGGTGGAGAAGTCAGAAAACAGTGTTCTTTTCGTCTTTTATACCCTGGGCTCTGGTCTCTACAGGATTCCCAGCTGCTAAGCTGGTGAAACACTGTGGGAGGGGGTAGAGGGTGGCTGTGCCCAGCTGCTGCCAGCCCGAACTGCATGACCAAAGGCTCTGGGAACACAGCCTGCTGGGAGAACAGCCCAGACCAAAAGCCACGGCACAGCACTTGCACTTTGTCTTCTGTGCACTGGAAAGGAAATGTAAGCAGTTTCCCAGACACATGTATTTCATTTCGATCCTTGGTTGCCTTACATATTCTCTGTATCTCCCATGTGCTCTATGTATAGAGCTGTAGGCTATGCCAATATTAGCAAGACTGTGCCTGTGTGTGTCTGGCCTTGGACTTTAAGTGGTCACACCATTAGTCACCTGCCTTGCTTTCCATTCTGGGCCTTAGAGTCCCTTGTTATTTTCTACACCTTCTGAGGCGCAAAGAAAGCAGTGAAAATATAAGAAAATTGGAATAAAGAAAAACATGCAAACGGCCTGAGGGTTCAGTAGTTCCTCCTGTCAGGACAGCTGGCACTCTCTTCATTGCAGCCCTCCACCTGGCACTGTGCTGGGGTAGACACTAGGGCGAGCACAGAAGTGAGAGGCAGGCCTACCCAGACTTGCTTCTTGGTCTCTGGAGAGGACCCTCGGCTGCCTGGTCAGCCATGGCATTCTCTCTGCTGATCTGCGTTTCCACTTGAGTAAGGGTTACTCTGCTCTCTCACACTGTCCTCGCTCACTAACAGAAGGGCAGGGGGGCAAAAAGATAAGAGCTGTAGCTATGTGGGCTGTGGATGGACTGCTGTCCTATTTGGGCCTCAGGTGTGCCACCCATAAAATGAGGGGGCTGAGCTAGATGCTCTCGGAAGACTCTCCCACTTTTATCACTCTAATTCTAAGGGGAAGAAAGACGGAGAGAAGAAAATGGAAAAAGAGAGGCAGGATGTGAAAGGTGATGGCTGAAAAAGAAAAGAAAAAGAAGAAAAGGGTAAACAAGATGAATTGAAATACACATTTAACTCTGTTCTCTCCTAAACCCCACTAAAATGAGCCAGATAACAAAAAAGAGACAACTTAAAATTTTGAAAGCTGAAAAACAGACTGGCAAAGTAGCAACTGACTCAGCAGATCCAAGAAAGCTGATTCCTTAACCAAGAGTGGGGAATGATGAGAACTAAGCTGTTCCACCTTATAACTCACAAAAGGGCCAAGAATGGGCAGATGCCCCTGCAGATGGGTGCGAAGGTAGATTTAACAAAAGAAGAATTGGTTAGAGTCTGTTAAGAAATAGAATTTCCATGTCATAATATGACTCTTTCACTGAAAACAAAATAAATAGAAATGCAGGAACTCAGATAGGTAAGAAGAGTAATGAAAATAAGTGAAAACATATGCCTGAAAAGACACTTATTACAATGTTCATAGAAGCTTAGTCATAATAGCCCAAAACTAGAACCAACCCAAATAACCATTAACAAGAGAACAGATATACAAATTGTGGTATTTATTGGAATACCACTTGGCAGTGAAAAAGAATGAGCTATTGATAGGATGCCTCTCAAGAACATTATTTTGAATGAAAGAAACCAGAAACAAAATAGCATGATTCCATTTATATATTAAGTTCAGGAAAAGGAAAATGTAATCTGTGGTAACAGAAATCAGAATAAAGGTGAGAGTGAAGACTGACTGTAAGGAGGCATGAGGTAACTTCCAAGGGTGGTGAAATGATCCTTATCTTCATTGGGGTTGTGGTTACATGGGTGTTTACATTGATTAAAACTCATCAAATTGTATATTTAGATATGTAGATTTCACTGTATGTAAATTTTACTTAATCAAAACACAAAAAGTGAAAAAAAACAACAGTCCAGTGATTAAAAAAAAAGAAATTCTACATGGATTAAAGGGAGAAATATAAAAGGCAAAGGATAAGACCTTTAACAGACTCTAGCAGCTTAAAAACATGGACCCCTCAAACATCCCTTCCACTGATCTCTGTGATTGACACTTGACCAATAAACTACAGTGGAAATGACACTGCCAGTTTCTGGGACTAAGGCTTAAGAAACTGGCAGTTTCTACTTCTTTCTTGCCATGTGTGAAGAGGCAAAGCCACACTGTGGCAAGGTCTATGTGGAGAGAAACCATCAGCCAGAACTAACTTGTCAGCCCTGTGGTGGAAGTGGATCCTCCAGTCCTGATCGAGCCACCACAGCTGACAGTACACGGAAGAGAAACCAGCTGTTGTCACCCAGCACTGCCTGTGCTTATGTTTCAAGCCATGAAGTTTTGCAGTGGTTTGTTATGTAACAAAAGACTGTAACAAACTGTCGTACCAGGAATAGGATGCTGCTGTAACAGAAGCCCAACACACACGGTACTGACTTTGGGACTGGGAAGCAGAAAGAAGCATAAAAAGCCACAAAGAGAGTGTAAGTGAAGCAGAAAGGGCCTTGAATAGAAGCCTGTAAAAGCTTGGGGTCTGAAGGATTCTTTTCACTTTGTACCATCTCTGTCCCTTAGTCCGAGCTGGCAAGACTTCCTGCAGAATGATTCTCTTAGAAACTCGATCTGGGTTGGGGTTATGAATACTACTGAGATTTACTTCATTAGCCAAAAGCCACAATCACAAGTTTCTTCTCTTCTTTGGGCTTCCTGTATGGCTGCTGAGACAATGCCCTTAAAATTCTTAAAAATCCTATTATTTAAGGGAGAGAATCTGTGAACTTGCCTTTAAGATTCTTAGAGGGCCTTTTGGTCTGAAAGAGTCTATGAAGCATAGTCTTAAATCACTCTGATATCTTAACAAAAGGACTTATTGTTTAAGATTTGACCCATTCTTAGTTTAGAACTGTTTGCCTTCTGGAGAGATTAGAAACGATAAGCATTTCTGGACTTTTGTATTTTTTACATTTTTAAAAGCTCATCTCTCTCATCTTACATTTTTACCATAGGCAGTGAGAAGTCAGGTGATACTCCATTACTTAGTCTGGAAATCTCTCCATATTTCACTAAATTCATCAGGTACATTTCCTAGTTCCATGTTACTGCAGGTGACAGTGTCATCAAACTTTCCACCACTCCTAGCAGGTATCCCCTGTCTTCCATCTTCCAATAAAATTTTCCTCACTTTCCTTTAAGTCCTCACTGACAGCCCCCTCAAGATTTTTTAGGCCTCCAGTCTCAAGTTTCTAAGAGAATCATTCGGGCAGAAGGATTTCCAGTCGGGACTAAAAGGGATAGAGATGGTACAACATGAAAAGAATTCTTTGGACTTCCACCTTTTACAGTCAGGAAGAAGACTGAGAAGGCAACTCAGTTTTCTCATGGAAAAGGAAGGATGATTCAGAGGACAAAACCAAAGAGCCATGGAAACAACTACCAGAAAGTGGTACTGGATCTAATTAAGGAACTGGCAACATACACACAGAGAGATTTCAGAATTTCTATAAACCAAAGACTGCTATGTGCCTCCAGTTCTTTTCCCCTTTGAACGAGTGCATCTGTAAGTTATCCTACGCCTGTCCCACCACTGTATGATGGGTATGCGCGGAGCAGACGACTTGCTTCTTTAGGACACAGGTCTTCAGTTTAAGAAGAACTACTCGCAAGGAGCTATACCTGAGAAACTGCACATGACAGGTCTCATTTGCACCTGGATCTAATTTACATGATGAGATCCTAGATCTGGTGCCTGATGTTGAAAAGAGATGAGACCTTTAATGGGGAATCTTGCAAGGAGAGGAATAAATTTTCCAAGTGGGAAGAATGTAAATAATTTATGCCCAGAGAGTGGACTGAGGTGGTTTTAAAATGTGGTCCATAATTCTTCGACTCTCTTCCCATCAAGAGATGGGGTCTAAACCTCCTTCTCTTAAATCTGGGTTCTGTGACTGCTTGATCAATAGAATATGGTGGGAATGATGCTATGTTAATTTTTGGGCTCAAGCCTTAAGAAAATGGTAGCCTCTAATTTCTGTCTCTTGGGACACTTGCTCTTAGAACCCAGTCACCCTGGTATGAGGAAGCTCAGGCTACCCTTTGGAGAGGTCCATGTAGAGAATAACCAACAGCTAGCACCAATTTTGTTGGCCATGTAAATGAACCATCTTGGAATTGGATCCTCCAGCCCCAGTTGAGCCACCTCAACTGATGCCATGTGGAAGGGAAATGAGCTGCCTCTGCTTTAATTTTAATATAGTTGAATATACTGATATTATCTTTTCCAGGAATACATACAGTTATACACTTTTCCTTTTACAGTTTATGCTTATTGTCTTATTTTAAAAATCCTTCCCAATCTTAAGGTCATAAAAATATTTTTGTATACTGTCATGTTTTGGTTTTCTACAGCATACATGAAATCAGAATTAGAAGCTGTAAAAGAAATTGAGACAAGGCTAGCCAACATAATATTGAAGGAGAAGAACAAAGTTAGAGGACTGACACTACCCAACTTCAAGAGAATGTGGTATTGATGAAAGAACAGAGAAATCAATGGTACAGAAAAGAGATCCCAGAAATAGCCCCACACAAATATAGCCAACTGATCTTTGACAAAGGAACAAGGCTATACAATGGAGCAAAGGTAGTCTTTTCAACAAAGGTAATGAAACAACTGGACAGCCCCATGCAAAAACTGGAATCCAGACATAGACTTTATACTCTTCACAAAAATTAACTCAAAATAGATCTCAGACCTAAATGTAAAATTTGAAACTATAAAACTCCTAGAAGATAACACAGGAGAAAACCAAGATGACCTTGGATGATGTGCCAGTGACTTCAAATATAACACCAAAGGCACAATCCATGAAAGAAATAACTGACAACCTGGACTCATTAAAATGAAAACCTTCTGCTCTGTGAAAGACAATGTCAAGAAAATGAGAAGGCAAGCTAAGGGTGAGAGAAAAATATTTGCAAAAGACATATTTGATAAAGACTTATCTAAAACACACAAAGAATTCTTGACATTCAACAATAAGAAAACAAACAACCGATTAAAAAATGGGCCAAAGTTGTTAATAGACACCTCACCAAAGAAGATACACACATGGCATATAAGCATATGAAAAGATGCTCTACTTTTCATGTCATCAGAGATATTTAAACTAAAACAACAATCAAATACCACTATAAACTTATTAAAATGGCCAAAATCCAGAACACTGACACCACCAAATGCTGGTGAGGATGAGGAGCAACAAATGAACTTTCACTCATTGCTGGCTGGAATGATGCAAAATGTTACAGCCACTTTGACAGACAGTTTGACAATTTCTTATAAATCCAAACATACTCTTACCATATGATCCAGCAATCTCATTCCTTGGTATTTACCCAAAGGAACTGAAAACTTACGTCCACACTTAAACCTGCACATGAATGTTTATAGCAGCTTACTTCTAACTGCCAAAACATGGAAACAACCAAGACATCCTTCAGTACGTGAATGGATAAATCAACTCTGGGTACAGACAGACAATGGTATATTATTCAGCACTAGAAAAAAAAAGTGAGCTATCAAGCCATGAAAAGACACAGAAGAAATTTAAATGTATATTACTAAGTGAAAAGGCCAATCTGAAAAGGCTACATACTGAATGATTTCAACCATATGACATTCTGGAAAAGGCAAAATTATTGAGACAGTAAAAAGGTCAGAGGTTACCAGGGATTAGTAGGGAGGGAAGAATGAATAGGCAGAGCTTAGAGGATTTTTGAGGATTTTAGGGCAGTTAAATTATTCTATACAATCCTATTATGCTGGGTACATGTCATACATATTTGTCAAAATCCATAGACTGTACAACACCAAGAGAGAACTCTAATGTAAACTATGGACTATAGGTGATAAGGATGTTTCAATGTAAGTTCATCAGTTGAAACAAATGTACTACTCTGGTGGGGGATGTTGATAATGGAGAAAGCCAAGCATGTGTTGGGGCAGAAAATACGGGAAACTTCTGCACCTTCTGCTCAATTCTACTGTGAACCTAAAAAAATAGCCTAGTAAAAAATTCAGAAAATAAAAAAGAACTCTTCAGAGTAGATACAAATATCTAAGAGTGGGGAAGTAGAGCATAAGCATTTCCTAAATGTATGTAAAATCCTTTTATGTAGAGCATTTTGAGGACTAATTTTTTTGCCAAACACCCTTTGGAAAATGCCACTAGAGTAATAAATAATGATACTTTTAAAAGCAAAATGCCAGGAACAAGAAACTCAATACAAAGTTTATAAGATATAATTGAAGAAAGTTGATCAAAAAGACAAAGAGAATAGGAATAAGAATAAAGAGGGTCAAGAACATAGAGGACAACTTCAGGAAGTTCAACATCTGAATAGCATATATGCCAGAAAGAATGCATAGAGAAAAATGGGAGAAAAATCACTGATGAAAGACCTTAAGAAAGTTTCAAGAGGCTAAATAATGAATGGACAAACTATGTGTCCACATAGTAGGTAAAAATATATCCTAGGTGAAATTTCAGAATACTGAGGATGAAGAGAAGCTTCCGAGAGAATAAAGAGGTTTCACAAAACCAAAGATAAAATCTAAGAAAGATTATATGGGAAAATAAAGACATGGAGAGGAGCAAACTGGGGATAACACAAGAGAGAGGTGAAGAGGATGTCAAGGAACTCAGAAGGCTCCAGGGGATTGCTTTTAGAATTTGGAATGGATAGAATATATAATGTGCTTGAACATAGAGAAAGATGTATATAGCAGTAAGAGAGTTTGAGGCTGAATTAATAAGTACATAGCAAAATAAACACATTAACAAAGAAATCAAGATTTAGTTTAAAACAAAATGTTGTTTAACAAAGGAAAAGTAATCACAGTACAACTACACGGCTCAACTGAGAACAGCATGTAACAAGTTATAATAACAAATTACTAAATATCAATCTAATAAAAATTATAATATCACAGTACTAGGATACAGAAGTATGTGTGGGTGGGGAGGGGAGCAAGGAAATCAAGAAGAATTAAATTGTCATCATCTAAAGTGTATCATCAGTTGAAAAATGCCTAAAACTAAAATTAAAAAAAGCAATATAAGCCTCCCATTTACATATATGGAGGTAAATAAGAGAATGAGGTAAATTAAAAGTGATTGCCTTTGGTGAGAAGTAAATGACAGGAGGATAGAGGGTCTCTTTGTTTTGTTTTTATAATAATTCTTGTAGGCCTGTTGTTCCTTTAAACTATGAGCATGTATATAATGCTGATAAAATTACTTTTTTTAAAAAATGGAGGTACTGGAGATTGAATCCAGGACCTTGTGCATAACAAGCATGTGCTCTACCACTGAGCTATTACCACCCTCCCCTCCTCCAAATAACTCTTAAGAAGTGTTGTGCAGTTAAAAAAATTAAAGGTAAGTAATAAAGGATACAGTGTAGCACACAACATTTGATCTATGATAGTTTTTAATTGTTAACATTTGAAGTGACTATAAAGGTAACTTGGATGAATCTTCTCATTGTATATGTGTGGAAACTGAGATTCAGAAAGGGAAGTGACATCCAGGCCACACAGAAAGAGTGGAGTCCCCTCAGGGGATGGTGAAACAGTGATCAGTCAAGACTGCTATAGCGTGATCAAGAGCAGGAAACAGGGATACAAACTCAAGTTGCCCCTCTTCCTGGGCTTTGAGATTCAGACCAAAGGAGGGACTACCAGCTCAGTGACTGCCAGAAGAGATGATCTACATCATTTAAAATGAATAATGATGCACAGTCATGAAGCTCCCAGTGCTGTGGATCTTCTAGGTCTTTGTTGAAAAGGCACCCAGGCACTTAAGTGGTATCTAGAATGATGTGGAGTAAACTAGACAGGCTTACTAGGGGTTTGCTAAGAGCTTGGAAAATACAATCAGTATCTTCACCAACGTGTCCGTCTATCTTTACTTCCTCATCCATGGAGCTTAACAGGCAAAACTTCTAAGCTTTGTTCATTAATTTGATGATACTTTTGGACTAAGCAAACCCAGTAACTGGCTGGGGCTAGATGCATAAGATACATTTTAAGAAATCAATTGAGTACCCTGACAAGAGCTGGACATAAATGCCACAGGCAGGCTTTGTTGTTTCCCAAAGGTTATTTGGAGTGGAAAGTATGACTGGCCTTGCCTTCAAGTGCTAACATTCTAGGATTTGGGCAGAGACGTATTCAACTCCCTCTAAGAAAAAGACTACCCTAACTTCCAAGGGGATCATTTCAACTGCTTTGACTTCCCTAAGGAAGATGGATTTATCTACAGAGTAACAAAAGTAAGGTTTCACACATGTATCTTACTTTACACATACCAAATGAGTACTTTTTAGTTACCTCATTGTGTAACTAAAACCCCATTGGTATATCTATTCTAAAGGGGTAGCTCTTTTAGAGTTACCTTCCTATACAGTTTATGAAATTGGAACAGATATGCACAGCCCCGGTTGATTACCCCCACCCGCTTCAGCTACCAGCTTTTGCTTTGAATCAAACATGCATGGATTAGTCTCCAAAATCAAATTCACTTTCATAGTACCAAGGTTTGCCACCATCAATGATGTTAAAAAAAAATCAGAGCAGTGTCATACATGTTTGCATGACGGCAGAATTATTAGAATGCTGGAAGGGTTCTGGAAGGGATCACTAAGCAGGGAGGGCTCCAAACTGGAAAGGATGGGTATTATTACAAACTGGGCTAGGGAGCTCCTGATGCTGGCCTCATATCCACCCACCCCCATTCCCTGGCTCCCTAACTCTAAGTTCACAGAACATCTACCTAAATTTCTTTGATTGTTTTGACAGAAGGAAGGTTTCTCTGAAGTTATTTCAAATGTCAAAGACAAAAAATTTTTTAAATATTCTATTTAGATTTATAAATGGATAGAGGGCTAATTACTGGTACAGAATAAGAGAAAGTATAGACACTGGGGCCTGGAGCTTGTTGCAGCTAATACTGTGATCTGCTCTTACCTGTGGGGGCCTGCATGGCTGAGCTGGGGATGGTGGCAGCATCTTGGGGTACAGTGCTGGTATCCGGTTCAGGGGTGCTGGTTGTTGGTGAGGTGGGTGGTGGGTTCAGCAAAGTCCGAGGTTTCCTCTGTCAAAATGGATGAGGAAAAGTTTGCTACCCATGATAGGTAGGTAACTTGTCTTCTCACTCCTCTATTCCTAGCACTTAATTCACCCATGAAAGTGAAATATATTTGTGGATGGGGTGTGTTCTATCATTTTTTCCCCAACACAGCATCTTGCCTGTAGCTGCAAATATATCAGATGCTTAGTAAATATTTTCTGAATCTATGTATAAGATTCTGGGCTCTGAATAATCAGAGCTTAATTCACTCTCTTTTATACTACACTCAATTGACACAACATTGTAAACTGACTATAACTCAATAAAAAAATGTTAAAAAAATATATACTACACTCAATATTATCATCTGAAGTTCAGGTTCTCCATTAGCTGGGTAGAAAAAAAAAAAGGAAAAAAACCCGCTATGGTTTAAGTCTACTTTGATGTTACTTTGTTTCTCTCTGTTGAAAATGGAAACGTCCCTTCCCCTAACTCCACAATTTTCCTCGCCTACCTCCTCAGCTCA